CGGAGTAATACGTTTTTTGACGTAACTCATTGTGACGTAGGCAAGTTATGTTATACAAAATGGATAAAATCTTTAATCCAATCAAATGACGTTTTACAAGTAAAATTAAATTATTTTACTTTAAATCCACATTCTTAGGACTATGTTAATATTAGGTAAAGTGACAGCTAGATTTATTATGATAAACGTGATGACCAAGTTTTGTTTTGTCAGTTTTCCTTACTTATGGAGAAACATACTTTTCTCCTGCGTATGGAAATAATGTTTCCCAGTTGATTAGCAAGTAGTATACGTTCTACCTACGAATATTTTTTAAAAGAGGCAGGTCTTTGACAAATATGTTGATATTACATATATATCAATATTTATTTAAGTCAACATTCCACAAATTCTTCATTCGATTCCCACATTAACCTTGTATGCAAATATAATATCTGTCGTTAGGCTGAATGCTGAGTATTGATTTACGTTTTTGCATATAAATTGATGGACCATTATTTTAAAACTAAATTGTTTGTTTTCCTGATTTAGACAAAGGGTACATTGTGGAAAGAGGATGCTTACTCTCTCATGGCACAAGATTCCTCTTCTGTTTTCAATTGTTATTGGTTTGCTCATATTTTTTATTGTTTAATTGGACTTTCGAGAATGATCAGCAAGCATTATTTTATTTCATTTCATTACGCAATATGATTTTTCTCTATAGGATAATTGATGTTTTGAATAATGTTTCAATGAAAACAATGCTTAGAAGTTCCTCTCCTTGGTCTTTGGAAGTGCGCGACAAGACAGACCTTCCAAAACTGCCATACAAAACACAAGTTCGGGCCATTAACCCCCGCAGTTGGTATGTCTGGTGTTTGCCTGGGCTGTTTAGAAAGATTTACCGCCTTCGTCAAAGAGATAACGGTATTTGCAATCAAAATATAAAACTTCGCGTTTTTATATGTGCTCTTTTAGCAAGGGTTCTTATCTGGTAGTTTTCAATCGATTTAAGAAAACTTTTGACATGGTGGTTATTTAACATGTGTTCTAAATGGCATGATATTTCTTCTGTGCGATCTCCTTCACCTGTTTAAATGTTTTACTGAATTCAGAATACTTGAAAGCTCAGAAAAGAAACTTAATATATACTTTTCTCTCAAGCAACTTTAAAGGGACATCCGCCAATTAAACATTTTAAAGAAATAAACGAGAGATTATGCTTACTTTCCTTATTATTACCATCCAGAGTTTATTATCGTGTTTGGTTAAGCGTGTAATGAAATCTCATCCATGGAACTGAAGGACTCTTTAAATCTTAACCTTAATACGATTTCTTCATTAGTTTATTACATACACTGAACGTACCCCGACAACACGTATCATAATAAATGTGGAATTATTCTTTTTTTTAAGATATCAAGATAATGCACAGTAGTTTTCGAGATTTATACGCGTGTTATTTTGATTTATTCGTTTATATGGCATTTCTGTTTTACCAACTGTTAACATTTTTCACGTGTAAAGTACATGCAGCTTTAAAATTGCTTTTTATTGGTGTTCTGATTCTGAGATTTTTTTCAGCCAATCTTCTTCGTGGTCCCGCATATTTCAGGTCATGACTGATAGTTTTTTTCTGCATATTATGCTTAGCTATATACATATATAATTCCTCCACTAAAATATGTAACTGGCTTTTATGTATGATATTCATGTCCTTTAGATAATTCCAGGCATTCATTCTGAAGACAAATAAGTTTTAACATACAACCATCTGCTAGTGCCAGCATAATGATACATTATTAAATGAAATATATATGGAGATAACGAACAAAATTCAAGCTCGAAAGTCCAATAAACAATACAAAAAAGGAGCAGAGCAAACACGGACCTCCAAAACATCAGAGGTTGAATCAGGTGCCATCAAGAAAATATTCTACAGAAATTTCTACAGAATACGAGTAAGCCAGATTTGTGAGTACCTTAGATCCGGGAGTGGTGAGGAAGGTATTGTGCCGTGAGGGAAGGTCCGGGAACATGCTGTGTGACTTCTGTAACTCACAGTCCGGACATCGGGGGTCATATAACACAGCCTTAGAGCTCTCCACCACTAGAAACGCCTCTCTAGCATCCATTGTTATGGAGACTGATTTACAATTCCAAAGTTACACTTTGTTCACTAATATTGTATATCCTTCACAGAGGTGAAAATATTTTAAACTCCATGTAGCGACAGAACGAATAAGTAAATTGACTCTATTCAAGCTTCATTTAAAGTTTTATGAGACACCGAATTTTTAATTTCTAAACGAATTTGGACCCGTCCTTTTTCTGCTACTCAAGGTATTGCAACATTCGGTCTGGTTAATGTGTTATTGGCTGATCTTTTATTGAACACTTTGAGATGACTGCACAAACCAAAGAAAAATACCACCCTCTTTCTTGGCGAGATTAATAACTTTAAGATCGAAAACCGATTTTTTAAATCACGAGAGCGTCTTCTTAGCAGTGGTGTTTTGACTCTTCTATCTAATGGTGGCATAATAATCCTTAAGATATATAAATCGATGTTTGCTAATCTCCGTCTTCATATGAGCTTACATTGATCCGGTACCTACCTCAATGTTATGAAAATAGCACCACAAAAAAAGAAACGAGACCCCACCCTATTTTACACCTTAACTAATCGGTCGTCATCATATGAGTAAAAAAATTTGGAGAGGGACGTTAAACAACAAAACAAAACGTAATTGGTCATCGTCGCAAACCACGGCCAAAATGTACGTTCCTCTCCCATCGTAGGAGAGAGCTATATACGCGGACTCCGGACCATGGCTTGAGACGATGGTAATCGGTCTGCTCCAAGATTAGTATTCTATAAAACATTTGGTTGTATTAAGGCGTAATCATAATGAGGAAATATTTACACCCCGTTGTTTTCTACAAACAGCAAAGCAATTTTAATCAAAAGTTTTATTTGCAGTTGCTCTAATGTATATCTCCATGAACAATTGGTTATTTTTCAAAAATATATATTATCCTGTTTTTATTACATTTCGATATCCTCTATCCCTCTCAAAATGCTGATAATTTTTGTCTTATGAAGTATGAGGAGTAAAGAATAGAAATGCATTCAAAGTGGTCTCAAATTACATATTTTTAACTTCATCAAATTTAATAAGTCTCAGATACAGTTTGATGAATTAAATTTCTAAGAGATACACACTCAAAGGAAAAGTAGTCCTTTAAATCAAGGCCCTAATTCGTTTTCTGAGTCACGCCTTCGCACTAGAATTCTATACCCTATTTATGATAAATCGATCAGCAACTTTCAAATAGTATTTAAATCGTTTAAACCACTTTAAACTTTTCTTACCTGAGTTAGGGACCCGGTGTTGCGCCATCTGAGATGGTGTAATTAACTATCTGTTATATTATCGTAATGATAACGGGATTTTGGAATAAACAATGAATTAAACCAATACCACTTTACACTTTGAGGACTATATATACCTCGACACATGCTACAATTGATTAATTAAAATTTATTAAATACCTGTCATCCTGTTTTATAGACGGAAGATTACATGTACGTATATTGGCTTTAAAAATTGTCCAAAAAAAATTGGCACCCGAGTTTTGAAACACCATTTAGATCAGCGTTTTAATACATAGTATAGAATTACAAAAGCCTTACTCATTTCATTATTTTGTGCATAAATAAACAATTTTTCCCTCGGGATTTTGTGACCATCATACGTTTTATTGGTGACATTTTAACCCGTGACCCCGACAATACTTTAATCTGACACGGCGAGACTGACCACTTCTAATATCTCAATTGACACAAATCCCCATAACTCAAGGTACGGACCTTTCTGACTAAATTTAGGTATATTAACCAGATCTACTTATTTGAAAAGAAACAAAAATGAATCTTTTCTAAAGTTGACCATTTATAAGCATTCAGGTAATGTATTGAAAGTAATGTTTTACTGTGAATTATAACTGTATAATCATACATGTGTAGAGCCTATTGATGAGAAAAAATGTTACGCAATTATAGTTAGCTTGTAAATTAACATCAGATTCTTTAAGTGTTTTCTGGATGTATACGATATATTTTATAAATTATAGAGTAAAAGCAGATTTCTGTTAAGATATTTTGATTCAATCGAAGCATATAAATAGTTCTTCCATTGCAAATATGAACAAGAAAAGTTTTACAATGTTATTTTTCTTTCATTGAAATGGTTATTTACAATATTGCAACAAAAAACTCCAACAACAAAGTTGCAGCTCATATTGCTTTTATAATTTAATTAAAAACAATTCAAAATACATATCAAGATTCGCTTCCATTCGAGTTTGTTATTTAAAATTTATCGGACAAACGTGAAAAAAAATATTTCCTTTAAAGATTTGTTTAATACATCCCCTCTAATAAAACTGCAAAGGTAAAAGTGATGATTGAATCTTACAAAGAAACCTGGAATTCTTTTATCAATAATAACCCGTTATTATACAGAGAACTAGATTGAAGAAATCTGTTTCTTTTATTGACAATCTTGTATATAGAACACGCCGGGGATTAGATTTGTGTATCCCCGCGGGAGGCGATAGGGATTACTTATAGAGACCTCAAAGACTTAACATGTCTATTTCATTTTATCAAAGCAGACCAGATATATTACCTGTGTGTATGTAAACAGCAATTGATCTGAATTGGGGGACTACCTGGTTGTTTAGACTGTTTCTATTACCATATTCTGATACACTTTTTGACCTTAAGGAGTTATTTGCAGTCAGTAAATTTTTCAATTCTTATATCACTTATCTAAAGTTCGCATGCTTAATTTATCAATTTCAGTTTAATGACTGCTGACAAAGCATAAAAACGTTCAAAAGACCTATAGTATATTAGTATTGTTGCACTCGTACATAGAATATAAGCATGACTGCACAAATTCAATCAAAATACAATGTCCCTGTGTGAGATAGATAACTATATTACATACCGTGGGGTGAGGCAAGCTTCTTTTGGACTCGGATCGTTGTAATGGCGCTGACTCGCTAACTTTGGCGATTTCCAGAGAACCATTGGAGTGTCTGTCCATAGACGTATGGGCTTTGAGAGGTAGCTGATTTCCATTTGGTTTAATCGGTCCCAGAACTTCCCTTTGACTCAAGATGCTTTTGGTTGATCTGTCCGTGTTAGACGCGTCCTTTCTTGACAAAATTTCGTTGTCTGTCGCTGTTGTTGGTTTCGCTCGAGATGCCTCTGAATTAAGATATGCATAAGGTGTTATACTAGAGCCCCGAAGAGTTACGTATGTCGAACGTGAAATAGAGTCTGTGGTCATTGTTGTGGGGGTATCACTAATGCTGCTGGCTGGAAGTCGAATCAGCGGCGATGGAAGTTTAGGCGGGCGCCTGCGCAATCCATACTTCGGTGTCTTGATGCTGGCAGTAGCTCTGTTTCCAGCGTTCATCCAATCAGTGACGTCATCTCCGAACTTGAAGGCAATGGACGCTATCCTCTTTTGAAATGGTGTGCTTCTATTCTTTTTCAATATCTTTATTCCTACCGAAGAATCCATACTTTTATTTGTTTCCACTTCCATGGTAAATCACAAATTCAGATCGATTTTTATGTACCAGAATGCTCCTGAATACCGACAAACCACTTGTTTAACATGTGCTTCATTTTAAATCCTTTTGATATACATCAATGAGAAAAATTTTAAATCTCACTGAAAAATTGAACGCAAGGATGTATGAAGACTGCCTTTAACAGAACATATTTCACAAACACACCTAATGCATAAAGAGAGGGCAAGTATTACTAAGGATTCAAACAAAGCCAAATAATCGTAAAGATACAAATATTAGGGGATTTTTTACAACTGGATTAAATTTGTTAATCGGCTTTTTCGTTGGCAAGCGCCTTCCCTAAATACGCATGCGTGATGGAGGTTACCTACAGCTTCGATCTGGAAGGCGTTTGCCTGTACCAAGTCCTATGTATATATGTGGCATTGTTGACCCTGATATTAAAGGTAAATTTACATTCAGTTATCAGGAACAAGAGCTTAAAAGCGGCGTTTTCAAGTCGTTTTGTGAGAAGTCTGCCAGCTATTTACTACGGCTTTTACTTTTTAAATCACTGTTTGACGTTTTTATTGTGCATTCAGAATTATTAGGCATTGTTATTGTGAATCCATGTTGACGATTTATTTTGCACTGTGGGGTGATTTTTTTTAACACCATCAATCGAAATGTAGACATTTAAGATAGTCCAGGCGACAATAAAAATGAATATTTTGCTAGAAATCACTAGTGTGATAAAATTCTTCTAAAAGACAGAACAGAAACACACGCAGAATGAGATCACAAGGAAGTCAACATATAAATAAACAAATGTATCTTAACCATAAATGACCACAAAGCATTAAAACGGACTAAGGACAGATTATACAAACAAACAAGTTCTGTTTGTGAGACAATGATTCCCCCGTATGACAGCAAATGGCGAGGGCTGAAATTTCATATGCAAGTTAAACTCCAAGGTCAAGGTTGAAAGGTCAAAATTGTTGGTACCCAAAGGACGGTCTTGTCACAGGGAATAGACCTGTGAAATATAAAATCATTAGTTCTATTGGTTCAAAAGTTATGATCAAGGTTAAAGTTTTTTTTTTAATGAGGACCAAACTACTCTTACGTCAAGGTCAAAATGTAAAATATTATACACCAAATGAAAGGGCTTGCCACAAGAAATATACCTGTGAAATATCGAAGCCCTAGTGATAACGATTCAATTTTATAAAGGTTAAAGATTTTTAAAAAGTGGTCCTAACTCAAGGGTCGAGGTCAAAGGGTCAAATATTTGTATACTGGTGTCTCATAATATCGCGGTACTTAATCCTTTTGATTATAAATTGTTACTCCAATTTTTTACTTTAACTTTCATCAAATACTATCCATAAACCAATCTATGGCCTAACTTTTTAGTGTCAAATTATTTCTCAAGTTTGCACTGTTTAATTTGTTGTCTATTTTTAAAACGGGAAGTCTTATTTACCTCCTAAATTGTAGAGTCTCATAGTATCACGGTATAGGAAAACATGGAAACTTGTGGCTGACATGGACTTCAATTTTTATTTTTATATTTACGGTGTAATTCTACATTAAAAGTAAACATTTATACAAACCAAAGACTTTCGAAACATGAACTTTATTCTGGCTTTTACTAGGGTATAAAATCATTGATCTAAATATGATATAAACGGTAATGGAAATCTGTAAAATTACGTTTGATTTGAATAAAAAATTACTGACACATGTTCCATACTTTTGAATCGTCACAAAAGTTTACATTCGGACGACAAACAGATAGTTTTTAACAGAAAGGATATGAGCTATGTATCTGGATTTTTGGAACATACCGCGATACACTGGAACCCGCGATATAATGAGAAGCGAGTATATACCAAATGAAAGGTCTTGTCACAGTTAATGTACACCTGAAGTATAAAAGCCCCAACAGCCATTATTCTATAGTTAAAGTTCAGAAATTTTTTAGTCAAAGTGGGTCAAACTCCAAGGTCAAGGTCACGAGGTCTAATAAGGTGGTACCAAAGGAAAGGTATCGTCACAAGGAATACACCTGTGAAATATGAAACCCATAGTCCTACACACTCAACAGTTGTGGACAAGTGTATATTTAGCAAGTCCTATGGTCGATACCATAATCTAGTCAGCAAATACATTCTACCATTAAGTCGTAATCTGGCTCACATATTGTTAGGTAATAATTTGATATTGTCTAAAGATGATTCTGTCAGCCCGATCATGACAAGGAGAACACGGGAGGTGTGAACGATTGAAAAATGAACACTTACGCCTCCATTGCACCTGATCATCCCCCTTATGTTTTAGAGGCATCGGTTTGCTCTGCTCCAGATATTAGCATATTGTTTTATAGCTGACAAAGTCTTACAGACTCACAGGCAATCAAATAAAGTCTACACACAAATTTTACTGGTATACACCACTTTCAAATTCAATATATACCGGGCTTGTCCTTGTCTACAAAATTTTGTCTCAACATATAAGCTCAGTTTTGTACATGTCTTAAGATCATGTCTATACATGTAAGTTTCCGTCTTTTTGTCTGTTCCCTAACAAACATTTACTATAGTTACTTTGAAACCTTAGTAAGTTTTTGTTAGGGAACAGAAATATTCAAGTTTCATGGTTACTTTGATACTATCGGTTATGAAACTTTACTCTAGAACTTTTTTGAAGATTTTGAGCCCTGATATATCGTGAATTACATACTATCAATTATGTCAATTTATGATAAAATATGTCTATATACAAGAAATAGCTCATTTTAATATTAGAAAAGGTTCAATCCATCAAGACATTACCTGTTACCCTTCACAGAATAATGTCTTAGGTCTCTGTATCCATTAAAAGAAAACCTCAGCATGATCATCTTTAGGGATGCCCCAAAGACACCGATGAATATCATTTCCCGTTAGATATACATGTATGACATTGTACAATCTTCCTTTAATTGTTTTCATGTGTTTGGGGAATAAAAAGATATCACAAAAGGTGAGATAATCCAGTTGAGTGAGGGAAAAGTTGTGTATACCATCTTTTCTTCAAAATCTTATTTATTTCTCCAAGTTTATATGCAGCTGCGTTGTAAGGCAATGGAAAAATATCCTTGTCGCCAATATTTGGATTTCCTTTGCAGGAAATCTCCTTTACTTTCCTTAGTGCAATTCGAACCTAAAAGTAACCATTGTTAGTCCTTCATTTGGATGTATGTACATGTTTGAATGGAGGTCTTTAAATACAAAAACAAATAAAACATGTTTTGAGCCGTTGCTTCTCTTTATTATAATTAATTGACAGCTTTTTCTTTGATTCCACGTTTTTCATTATTGATCTGATTTTTTGGCTATAAAAAGTGCACCTGTTTTGTCATTTATCAAGCAGGTTTATCAAATCTTCTATTTGTTAAAACATTTGCTTTTAAATAAATTGTTGGCACATTTAAAGCGAGTTTTCTTTAGGGAATTTGTAAGAAAATAGGGCACAAATCTGATAAAAATATTTCTTTCCTTTGTCATAATTCTACAATTAAGCAATACATGTGTTTACATTCAGTGTAATTTTCTTTATGAAATCCATTAGAAATCCATGACGTTTAAATCTCTATAACACACGCGAAACCTTGTCACCGCGCGTTAGAATACACAGTAGGAACTTTATGCATTTTCAATACTTTATGAACACCAAAATGTACATTGTTTGACACAATTTAGTTTGAAAAAAAAGAACCCTGTTGAATTAACGTAAAAATACAACAAATGTGCATTTGAAATCAATTTGTCACTTTTTCTTCCCTCGCAATGTTCGTTTGCGTTATTTAACTTTACGAAGTCTCAAACGTCACAAACGGTTCTTACGTCTATAAAGCACACCAGTTTTGAAGGGCGCTAAATTCACATTAAAGATTACCGAAATAAACAATTATGAAGAGGAAGAATTAAAGAATGTAAATATAAGTATTGAATTCATATTTTGGGATGTCTTCGGTCCTATAACACACCCAGCACGGCCAGGACCCAAATGTACATTTCTGGTGTTCTAGAGTATTGAAAATGCATAATTGTACAATGTAATTTGAATGTCGTGGATTTCTAATGGATTTCGTAAAGAAAATTACAATGAATATAAATATAATGCTATGTTAATTAAATGTTCCGTTTCTTAACAATGTCTTTTCATGTAAATCTAGCATTTTCTGATAAATGTGACACATACATTGATGTTTTGGTGTACCCACAAAATTTAATCAACGAGATCGACTGTTATATTTAACCTCTCGTTTTTTGCTTCTGAATTGCTGAATCCATCTGAAAAGAATAAAGCATTAAAGATCATAAAATTAGCTTTATATAAAAGTCATATACGCTCTTATTTTCATATTCTTGGCAGAGATCATTTATAAAAAGTTTTCAGCTCAGTGTAGTGACGATGCTTACTTTAAAAGTGAATTTCTTTGCGATGACAAAGGGAAAATTCATGGGGTTTTCTGTTTTTAGAAGCCCTTTAAGAGAACTTTTCAAATGTGAAAAAATAAAATCAAATGCCTCAACAGTTTTTATGACATACTGTACATTGCTTTACTTATTGAACGACCCTCGTAAATGTAGTTAACTATTGTAAAGTATATTGTACAATGTAGTTAACTAAAGTTCTTTTTTGTTAGAGTTAAATTACGTTCTTCTTTATGAAGTGCAGTGCTTGCCTGTCCAAGTTGTCATCTATAAGCTCCAGCCCTTTTCTATTATAGCCACTGTGCAGCTCTTGTCTTTTAGCACCAGCTCTTGTTTTAGAGCTCAAGAATTATCTTTAACTTTCATCTTTTCATCTTTTATTTTATAGCTCCAACAGTTGGCTATAAACTCATCTTGTCTTTACCTCAACCTCTTGGTATACACAAGAGCTTAAATTAAAGACAAGATTAGTTTAAGTTATCGTCTATGAGCTCTTGGTCTTTTCTTTAAGTCCCCGCTCTATTAAAGTATGTAGTCTTTGTTTATTAGATGAAGTTTTTTGCCTTTTAGTCCCAACTTTCCAGTCTTTATCGATAAGCTTGAGCTCTTTAAGTTCATTCTCTGCTTAAAGCTCAGACTCTTGTCTTTTAACTTCATTACCGATACTTGTATTTTATGTTTCAACATGCCAGCTTTTGAATTAAACTTGTCTTTAATGACAAATGATACAACAAACTTTTGTTATAATTCCTTGAAATAACAACATTTGTTTTATTTATATTTAATTTAGTAAAATTAAATTATTAAGTTTAACCGCACAGATTTAGATTTTTTTATTCAAATTTTCACAATAATAGGATTTTAAGTGACAAAAATTATTAATTAAGATTAATAAGGATGGTTGCAGAAAGTTTGGGATTTTGTTCATCGCAGAAAGTTTACAAATTCTTAATATTTAAGAGATTTATTAGCCACATAATTTACGAGTACATTCAAAATAGGTCAAGAAATATATACCAATTCAAGCTCCCATATTTTTGTTTGTATCATCTTGTATATGTGTTTTTGGGAGGCTCATAAATTTTTTTCCGTATATTTTTATTGAGAGAGAGAATGTTGATTCTTATTTATTTATTTTATTTTATTTTATTTGTTTATTCAACCAAAATGTTTTATTTTATTTTATTTTATTTATTTATTCAACCAAAATGTTTTGCTCAATGAAATCAATAATAATCAATTATGCACAAACTTTTTTTAACAAATATTTTCACTTTGGAAATTCAAAAAGCAAAAACATTATGACGAAACAGGAATGCCAAAAATAAATAACAAGCAAAGGAAACAATGAAATCAACGTTGCGGAACAGCTGTCATGTTCGGCAGTTTTATACACAATGGGCGCGGGACCTCACCCATGCTCTATAAAACTACTATATAACAATGATATCGTCTTTGGTGTCAAGGTAAAGCGGAATTTTACACTTGTCTGCATAATTAAAATAAACGTAAATTAAAAACATAACACACGTTCACAGAGAAGTGTATGGTCGAGTTATAGCCGCTGCTTGTCCTATTACGCATCCAGCAGTATACACAAAAGCGCTACGCATCATTTGCTGCACACGATATTGATTAGAGGAACAATAGCCATGGAGTATAGATGATGTCGGAGAAGAAGAAACTCAAATTGCGCTTGTGAAATGTACAGCAGCAATGAATCAGAAAGGAATTTTAAGTGTTGTTTTCACAACAGGTAATGTATGATAGATGCATATATTTCTGCTTTATAATATAAAAAAAATATTGATGCAACAATTTATAATTTATTTTCATGCTTGGAAAAATGTATACTTTCTTTTGCAATAATTGACATGGTACATCATTTTCTAGAAATTTCGATCCATTGTCTACCAAAAGTGCCATAAGTTCTTTTTTAAAAACCCGGCCCCCAAATCCCCAAAAGTAATTAATCGTCTCATTTTCAGTGACACAATGACTCGAGGAGATGCCCTAGATTCCATCTAATGTTTTGGCGATAAAGTTCGCTGGATCCGCGTTACAGATAAAGCGCTACAAATCTAGCAGATTATCGATCGATAGACCCAAATGTTATTACTACCAACTTTGAAACAAGTCTTCCATTAACTGAATTCCCAAACGCGAGTTTCTCGATTGAATATTTCATAAGATGAGTGAATCATAAAAAAAATATTCCATTAAATTTACATCACTTTTAAAATTATAATATCCCTAAAACAGTGGTTACAATTTGTTTAGGGTCCAACGAAAATTTGTTCATTGATTATACATGAGCCAGATATTTGTTTAATGGTTTAGGAGTATAAACATATTGCACTACGTAGATGCCATTTATAATATCACATTTAAATTCATTTTGTAGGTATTTTAGCAGTGACAGCTGTTGCATTAGATCATGACATATCTAAAAGAGAGACATCAACAAACAACGTCACCACGTACAACGCTATCTATGGCTATAAGGAGTATAAAGAACTTAATCCAGACAAAGGTTTGTTACAGGAACCGACAGGAGTAGATCATGTTAGAAGCAACTGGTCGGTGTGCAATGCCTTTTTTCTTGGTGTTAATTATGAAGAGAACCACATTTTTTATCATGAAAATGATTAGATTGTGTGTTCTGGCTTGCTTGTGCCATACTTGTTTACTTGGCAATTGGCAGAAAATGAAACAATAATTAAGTGTTTGAAACACTACTTCTATTTACATGTCATAGTTACGATGACTGATTCATTAAAATTACATAAGATAGAGGTCTGCTTAATTTTAAGTTGTCGAAAACGTATTAAAATTCTGAACATATTCTGAATGCTAATTAACAAATAAGAGAATGATGCTGTCATTACCAATGCCTCTCAGATTTAACAACTGCACATGTCTTGAACATCGATTTTATGTTTTCCTGGATAAAGTTTATTATACTTTTGAGCGTTACGCGAAATTGTAATGGTGCCTCAGAATTCTTAAACTTAATTGAATACCGCTATGAATTCTGGCACTTTAGTTGTCTCGAATACAGAATCTCCATTTTGTATGTGCACAGAACACAGATATTCAGTATGACACAAGGAAATGAGATGGTATATTAATGACTCTATACATTTATTGTATATAATCATTACCTCGGCGTGCAGATAAATATTTGCTGATGAATTGCAAAGGCAATCGTAATTGTAGAGCATGTACATGTAACAGGCATGTTTATTAGCAGGAAAAATAGGCAAAATAATTCTGGAACTAAAAAAATATCTCATATTCTATTTAGTTGAAAGTATCCAGATTACATATAGTAATAATATAACAAACCAAATTTCTATAAGGAAAAAACATCAGTATTAAACAGTTTTATGTGCAGATATAAACGTCATAATCCAAAATCTTGGCTTAATACGCAGAATATTGGGATGGTCAACACTCTATGTATGTATTTCCAGGAACGTACATGTATGTGCATTTCTGCATGTTATAAATGTTGTTCTTCTGGTTAAGTGGAATGTGATCACAGGACAAATCCCATAATTTACATCCCAATAAAGGTGTTAAAAACTTTTTCTTGAATATGATTTTTAAAAGTGACTGTTTGGTAACTTAATATTGTATTTGTCACTCTGAAGATATATCCAAAACATATTCAAATATTGGGTGCAATTTATCAACAATGAATTTCTGAAGTGAAAGCAATATGTGTGTGAGACAGTGATACACCTGTACGGTAGCAAATGTGATGGTTGAAGCTTCGCAGATGCAAGTCAAACTCTAAAGGCCAAAGGTCAAAAAATATTATATCCAAAGGGAGTTTTTGTCACATAGAATACACTGTACTCTTGTAAAATATTAAAGTCCTGGTATAAACTGTTGAAAATTTATAGCCAATGTTTAAGTTTTTTTTTAAAGAAGGTCAAACTCTTAGATCAAGGTAAAAAGGTAAAAAAAAAAATTAAATACCAATTCAAAGGTCTTGTCCCAATAAATACACATGTGAGTTTTGAAGGACCATCAACTGTTTAAAAGTTGTGGCCCAGGTTAAAGTGTGTTTTTTTTTTTTTTGAAGTGGGTCAAACCCCAAAGTCAAGGTCAAGAGGTTATATTTGGTGGTTTCCAAAGATGTCTTGTCAGAGGAATAGACTTGTGCAATATGCATGTCATAGCACCACCAACTCAAAATTTATGGTCAAGGTTAAAGTTTTTGCTGACAAACAGACAAACATTTAAACGGACAGACAGACGGACGGACAGACAGACAGGTCAAAAACTAGTTGTCCTCGAATTTTCGATTACTCCGGGGCATTACAAAACATACTGTTTAAGTTCTTTACAACAAAAAATGTCTTGTGACCTTGTGTTTTATCAACTGTGTAAAGAAAGAAAGTTTCATTTGACTTAAAGCAAAACATAAAACTGGACAAAGATTATCTGTAGACAGTGCTCATTTGAGAAACAAGTCGTGGGGAACAAATTCATAAAGACTGAATAATATGAGACTATGCATGAAACCCATAGTTGTTCATGTATATGTCAACTTTATTTCGTATGAATATCAAAATACACTGAAAATATATGAGTGCAAATCGGTAAAGTCTGAATTTTTTGGGCGACTAATTTTTTCAGCCTGTACTTTTCGGGGACAAGTTTAAATTAATATTGTGATCTGAACTTTTAAACAAATACATGTAGCTGGAGTTGTTGTGATCTTATTTACTAAGCATGAAACTGTTAGGAGCGAATTCACATACCCTGCATGAGTATGCATATAGCGTTGTATGTAGGAGAATGATTCATATTACCAGAATTAAGAGGAAAAGATTTACTTGCTATATCTGATTGTTTTAAAATCATTGGCTTATTTTTCTATGCTTACCCTCAGAATAAACAATACAGTAAATAACGAGTAACAGCGATTATGTCCAACTGTCAGTTGTGCGTTTGGAATTAGTCGAGTGTTGCTTTTATTGTCACTGCCACTCAGTCGGTAGAGCGCCCGCTCAGTGACTTATGGTTGTGGATTCAACCAAACGGATGCGAATAAAGTCGATGAAAATGGGTGGCAATAGTACTCGTTAGTGCTTCGGATGAGACCTTAAATATAAAGGCCCCATGTCATGACAGGCGTTGGCACTTTGAAGATCGCTGAATGCTTAATGATCCTGATCTCAATTTACATGTACCGCCCTTCACCGGTATAGTGACGTCTTTGTATGCATCAAAAGTTCACGGATGGAATGTAAAACAACATCCAATCAATCAATAATACCATGAGTACGAGAACGATTGAATGCTAAAACAAAACAAAAAAAAACAGAAGAAAAATGTTAGCATCGCGGAGTTATCGAAATAATTGAAGAATAAGGACTTTCCGAGTACAAAAAATAAACACTTGAAAGGTCAGTGAAATATTTTTAAAGCTTTCATATCGTAAGCGCAAATTTTATCAAAACGAGATTTGATTCAGAATTTTCCCGCTTTTTCTTTTATTTTTCAATCAGATATTCAGTATTATACAATAAATAGTGCATCTTTTGAGGAGAACAGATGAAATTGACACCCCTGGGAAAACCGTTGTCAACCTCACCTCCGCTGACGTGGCGATTGAAAAATTTCTCCTCGGGTGTTGATTTCCGCTTTTTTACTCCAAAACATGCTCTACTTATATAATTGCATGAAGTTTTGATGTACATTTTCATGTAGCATAAGGTTAGGAGGGATAAAGTAATGTAGTCTGTAATTGAAACAAATTATAGAGCATGAAGTTATAGGGAACAAATTCAAAAAGCATGAAGTGATTGGAGACAAATACATGGGACCTCAAGTTGTATGGGAGACAAATGTATATAGCATATATCCTGAAGATGTTCGAGACAAAATAATATAGCCTGAAAATGATGGGGGCTTTTTCATGTAGTCTGATATTGGGGGATCGGGGGCAAATTCAGAAAAAGTTGTGGGAGAAAAATATTCATATTGTGTAATGTGGTGGGGACAACCCTAATCGTCCTTCCTATATCCATTACACAGATATATGGTAGTTTAGGCAATAAATAAAAGATATGCTAAATCTGCATGAATAAGTACATGTAAATACTTTTCTGAATCAATATAATTTAAATACTATAAAAAGTGCTAACCCTCAAAATTCCTGATAACCTATTTTTTTATTTGTAGAACCGACCTTATGTTTTGACAAGAAAGGTGTTGATGTGAATGGGTCAGTATTCAATAACTTTACGTGTCCACTTCCTGCTCATGACACAGGACTGACCGACTGCTGTAACAATACCTGCTGTAGGCCAAAGGTTGTCAAGAAAAGCGGCGCGGAGGATACATCGGTGTATGTACCTATAGCTAGGATAACTCACTAGGAATAGGATTGATTCTGAAAAGTTAAATACACTGTATACATATTTGCTTATTTGAGTTGTTTATTTGGTTCATTTTTCCGAAAAAAAGAATTTTTAAAAATGTTAAAGCATTTGTAAACTTATTATGATAAGCTTAATATATACATATACAGTGTATTTGAGAACTCCTGAAAGAGAACACTTAAGATCATACGCAACGTAGTTTGAATTTTACTGGGTTCTTCCCTGGAGTTGAAGAGTTCCACTATATGAAGGACCTGTGTGCAATATTTTTATTGTCTATATATGGATATATGGATTTGTACACCTCTTCTAAAACAATTTTTGACGAAAAAATCTGGAATTTATGTTTTGTAATACTTGTACATTTTTCTTTGAATAATGCCAAAATTTTCAAAATTTGATATCTTGTTAAAACCCCTGGTAACGCATGCTGATTTTTTGTCTAAGAACATGTAATGGTATTATAAGTTTAAATTTAGAATATCTTGAAAAATTATCAGTAGGAAAGGTACCTTGCGTATGTCCTTAAAAGACTTGTTTTAAGAGGAGGAAAAATGAATGAAATATAATTTGTCTGAGAAAGGTGCTGGTGTGTGCTATAGGGATGAGCTCCTGTACTGAAATGTGTCTAGCACTTTTGCTGCAAGAGAGTGTTGGGGAACTGTGCTGTAGAGATACCTTTCTGTATTATAATTTGTTTAACACTGTTTCGGTCAGAATAGTAGTGTGTTTGCTCTAAGGATAACTCTTTGTAGTATAATTTGTCTAGCACTGCTACAGTGAGAATTGTGGTGACCTGTGCTGTAGGGATAACTCTATGTATTGTACTTTGTCTAACATTGTTGTATTGAGAATTGTGGGGCCCTGTATTTTTAGGATAACTCTCTGTATTATAATTTGTCTAGCATTGTTGTGATGTGAATAATGTTGATGTTTGCTGTATGGATAACTCTCTGTATTATAATTTGTCTAGCACTGTTAAAGTGACTATAGTGCTGTAGGGATAACACTCTGTATTATAATTTGTCTAGCACTGTTGCATTGAGAATTGTGGTGACCTGTATTGAAGGGATAACTTTGTATTATAATTTGTCTAGCACTGTTGCTGTGACTATAGTGGTGGTCTGTGCTGTAGGAATTAGTGTCTGTATGGTCCTGTACTGCTGTTGCTGCCAGAAACGACCCGGAATCCATGAGGGAAAACTTGTCTGGATCAAAAAGAAAAAGGACAAAATTGGTTTGTATTGCCTGAGATGGCAGTTTTTTAAAGTCTTCTAAAAGTGATGACTAAAATATTGTTTGCTATTTTCTCACCAAAACTGAAGTATATGAACATATCTCTATATTCTACGTTATTCTAAATTTTATTGCCGCCATACTTTCTCTAAACTCTTATTCAGATATTTTTGAGTGAATTTTAAAAAGATCATTTTAAAGTGTCATGTTGTAAATTTTACATTTACTGCAACCCAGTAAATTCAAAATTTACAACATGACAAAAGCATGGGTTCATTCCAAGATCCATTTTGAAGGTATTAACTTATCAATACTATTTAAAGAAAAACATTTCTGAAATGTACCCAACGGATTTCTTTAAGAACCCTCTCTACACCAGTACAAAATGTTTTTGTTTTTTTGGATATTGAGAAAATATATTCTATAAAGGTGTTAGTATTGAGCTTATTTATATGATTTTCAACATATGGTGCGTGGCATTTACCCCCAGGAAAAATATTTAAACACAACACAGTATCAGTGAATAGATATCACTGTTGTTTACTTCCATACAGAAAATACATGTAAATAACATGTTCAATTAATTTATCTTGGCCTTTTAAAATGTTAATACCTGAATTGATTACAGATTGTGTAATAAACTGTGAATTTCTAATTTTAAGAATTTAGATCGAAGGGCAGGTCACTCTAACTGCAAAAAAAATACCATAGAATCAGAACTCTTTAGTGTGCAGTGTAGATAGGGTTCTTAAGATTGGTTTTTTTTATAATTTAGTTTATGAAGAGGGTGGATTGACGCCGGATGCTGGGAGTCCTGATAAGGATAATGAGGACGAAGAAGTGCTGGGGTTTGTTTATGCTCCGGATGAGAAAGGTCACGCCGATCACTCTCGTGAGTTTGTTGTTGCCAATTCTTTCTCAGCTTATCAATCTATAAAACCGCTATCAATTTGATTATTATTTACCTTTCTACTGACATTTTTGTTCAAAGATGAACTAATGTTATTCATAAACCAAGTGGATTTTTAAAGAAATTATATTTAATCGTCTTTTACCAGTCGAGAAGCCTCTAGAAGTAGACACACCCACTACCCAGAGAAGGATACTGCCCGAGGGTAAAGAGAAGAACGGTGGGGTGGATAAAGCTGAGAGAGATCTGACGATTCCTCTCATTACAATCCGTAAACCCAGCACAGCAGGTATATAAAATCAAAGTCTGTCATTGATACAGCTAGATTTAGATTCAGCTAGAATTAGCATCCTTTCTTGTATGACGTTTACGTGGCAAGGTCCACTTTCATACTGTTGATGATTTTTCTTAATGAAGCTCAAAATAAGACGTTTAAATGTACACCTTTACCTTTTTTATCTCAACAGTATGAAAATATATTATTATGCATGTCTACATAATAACTATATTTTATGTAATAGATCAACTTTATTCAATTTGCAGGTCAAATGCAGGACTCCTGAATCGCTTCCTATTGTTAGATAGAGATTGATTGAGCAACGAGACAAGCATTTTGAGATCTAGTTAACCGATATGCAACACAATTTTCTTTCATTGTTTCGTGTTTCCTAAATAAATTGCTTGAACAATGATTTTTAAAAGACAAAACAAGTATTTAGAGTTTTCATTCATGTGTGACCTTATACATGTATGTCCATACATTTTTATACATGTTCATGTATTTAGGACTGGTTCATTATTGGTTCATTAGATATATGAAGAATATTGAATATAGGACACATGAGAATGGAAATGACTGTGTTTTAATTTAGTTTAAAATATTTATTACATTTATTCATAGTAATTTTCTTGCATGTGCAAGCATAATTTTATCCCCCTCCCAACGGAGTTGGAGGGGATATAATAGTAGTATCGCAATCGTGTGTGTTATATTGTGGGTGAGTGATCTAGTGTTGTGTGAAGCAGAAGTGACGTGATTTAAATCCCTTGTTGCCATTGTAACTTTGTCGATGTCTTTAATTCTTCCAACTTTTAGTTGTCAAATATTCTGTGTAACAAAAGGGGAGTTAGGATGTTAGGCATCTGTTATAGTATAAATGTGAGATGATATATGTCTTCTTGTGTGCAAGTATTTTGATTGGGAACATGTTTTAAGGAAGGGTGTTCTTTGTGTATTACTGTATAATTTTTACATGCAATAAATTTAATGAAATTTGATCACGCATTTGTGCATGTACCTCGCACCAAAGTCTTCTGATAATTTTTTTAAAATGACTTCCTCGTGTCACGAATTTATGAAATAAAATAATTATGTGAAATATAATTGAGAGTTCAATCATTTATTTAAAATTATGCCCCTTTTAGTGTAATAAAAGAAATTATTATCTATATATTATTTTTTTCTTCCACTACAAGAAAGCTCTTTATATATAGGGGCGTTCAATAAGTAATGTCATTAGGGCATTTTCTATGACTTAGTCTTAATGATTTAACTAAGATATTTTCTTTCAATTAATATGCATATCCGTAACATTTCCATTCAATTTCTAATTGTTTTTCGAACACATTTTTGAGTATGACCTTTCGTATACTGGAATATGGCAGATCCTATGATTTGCTGTACTTTTTTTTTCTTTCTGATAGATGTTTTTCTAAGTTTGAGAAATGAAACAAGTCAAAGGTTGAAAGATCTGGCAAATGTTGTTGGTGTGACAAAACATTAACTTTCTTTTTATCCCCAAAACTCCTTTACTCTTCATGGCCTGTGGGTTTGGACGCCGTCATGAAGACATTTAATGTAGTGAATTCCTCATTCTGTTTCCTTCCTCTCATAAACCTTTCAATTTTTTTTGCAAAAAAATTGTTTTCTAGACTCCTCCAGAAATTGAACTTCCTCCCCGAATATGAATTTGAAGAACAAGACCGCTAATATTTAAGAAAATAGCATATAAAACTGTTTTATGGTATTGCAATTCTTTGCTCTTCTTAGGCCTTTGCAGTTTTGTCAAGTGCATCTTATTGTAAATTTGTTTTGAGGGATTAAAGCAAAATGGATTCAAGTTTCATTATCTGTTAGAATTTCATACAAACGTGGATAAGTACAATTTTTGATTTTTTAGAATAATTTTTTGGATATTCCTACACGCTGTTTTCACTCATTGGTCAAAATATAGGGTGACCTTTGAGTATTAAACTTTTTTACTATAAAATGTTTCTTTAAAACAGTATGAACTATCCCCAAAATGATTTTTATCAATTTTGCTATGTGTCTTAAAGTCAATAAAACATAATCAGTGATAATTTGTTGAAATTTCGTAAATTTACATCGGTTGTTGTAAGCCATTGTTGCCAAGGACGGTACCCATTTTTGATGCCTATTATATAATTTTTGTTTATTGAAATCTACATGTTCATCTGTATATAAAACAGGCATTGGTTGCTGTAAATTTCACATGTTTCAGTTAATATATTTTTGGGATATTCACAAGTTTTACAGCTGCTTTAATGAAGCGTTTAATTTTACTCTAGTTTACTGAATCTTGGTCATTCATTTTTAATGCAGTGTCTCGAATAGCCCTTGTTTTCCAGCTTCCCACGATGAAATAATGCGATGAAAGGTTGTCACACAAACTGTTATCAATTCATTAAAGATTCAATAATGAGATAAAGTCAAGCTTTATGTCATATGACTACTATGTTGTATGCCATCGAGCTAATGACATTATTTATTGAATGTCCCTCGTATATATTTAAATATTCATTTTATTTGTATTCATAAATGTAAATATATTTTATGTGACTAAAAGGAAAATTAGAAACATGCACAGATACATATATTTTAAACAAACACAGCACGGCATCTTGCATTATCAGACATATATATATTTCTCAAGAACAGCTTGATTTGTTTACGTGTCCAAATAGATAAATTTCACATGATTGATGTGATGTTCGGTGTTTACGTCCAATTCGAGAATTTTCCCTCGTAGAGAAACGTCACCCAAATACATGTACAAGTAAAGGGATTAAAATTTAACTTTTACTGCACTCAATGACATCGAGCAGTGAGGGATCTATATCGTACCAACACCTGCCTTGACACAGGACCTCTATTTTTTAAGGTCTTATCCGAAGCATCCACAACTTCCATTCCAGCTTACCGAGGTTGTTGCTACCTATTTTAATCGATTAGTTCAGTCGCGACTGTAATGATAGATATAATTATATTTTTTTCATGTTCAGATATTTATATTTATCATGTATAATACACATACCTTACATGAACAGATAAATATAGATTCATGTATATAAATTATGACCGGACTGAATTGTAGGGTTGAGAGTTACAAATCCTGAGGAAAACAAATTATGATATAGGGACACCCAAGTGCATTTTTTGTTATAGTTTTAAGTTACTTGTATACGTGAACTGTAATATATAACATACTATGTGTTGACATATTTTTAAGCTGAGGAATATGAAGTGCGACTAATTAGCCTCCAAGAAACTGTCCCCACTAATCTGGTTACAATATCTTATTGTATACATGTATGTTACCCCCTTGGCAAATGTTTGGCATATAAAAATGTCCCTCGCCACTTAACTCGTGCCTTCGTACCATGAACCAGCTAATATATGCCAATATTCAACAATATCAGTTCAATAACCTTATAATGTTTCCCTCGATGTTTGAAACAGCTCAACATGTTCTATTTCTTGGGGCAAACGGCAAGTCTATTGATTGATCAGGCGTATAAAGAAACAGTATTATCTAATACACACTATATATGAGCTCTAAAATCTAAAACTACTGACCATATGCCCAATACATTACTTTTTTTTAAAAATGAAGTTTACATATTTACTTACATGTATATATTAAAAACAACAACAATGTACTTGATTATATTTAAAATGAAAGAAATTACTGCATTTGGTATTATTTTAAATCATTTTACCATATTTGTATTATTTGCTAATTTGATGTCAAACGTTATGAGGTTTTTTTAACTTGTTCAATTTTGTTTCAAAATTCAATTTACTTCTTATTGATGGTATTGTGGCAGAGTTAAATGTCTTAAAATTTATAAAATAAACAGCTATTTTAAGGATTATGATACTTCTGCAAAAAATAAAAAAGTGGACCAGAAAATAAAACAATTTCATAAAACTGCAGATGGCTTCTAAGTGAAAGAGTCAAACTTTTGTCCATCGAGAGTGAGGACAGTTTTACTAAACCGTTCCTTACTTGAACCTCTAGACAGCAGTTTGCCTGTTTTAACCACAAAAAAGCGTAAACCGTCACAGGAAATACATGCAGGTTGAAAAACAGATCATTTAAATGTGTTAATTTTACCCGAGATAGCAGTCTTGTATAAGTAGTAAAAATCGACATGTGTTAAAATACGGAAACAAAGAAATTATGTTACGGAAGAACTGTAAAAGAACTTTTTTTCACGAGAAACTATCGCCTTCATAAATCCCCTATTAACTACTTCAATTTTGAGCAGTTTTGTCTGTAGAGTTAACTTATTCCAGATGACGGAGGTGTTGGTCGAGTTATGGCCGCTGCTCTTTATAATTACAATAGATCATCAATATTAAATAATACGCATCATTTGTTGCTCACAATGCTGAGTAAGGCACAATGGTCTCAGAACGTTATTGTGTGTGATGGGTGAGGAAACTCAAATAGCTTAATCATAAAGTTTAGCTATGAACTTTCGAGAAGGAATTTTCACTGTGTTTTACTTATTAGGTAATGTATATTAGTTGCATGATTTCATATGGCTTCTGTATGTGAATTGGTTTTTCTCCTTTCGAAATTTTTGAATGTTCAAGTCTTCGGTTATATTAGAAGCAGTTGATATAACTTGTTTAGTTTTGATCTAGAACCTTCGTTGTCCATTGGTCAAAGATGTGTTTCTGTGAAAGGTACATTTTAAAACATTAAAAAACAAAACAAGACTTATTAAACCGTTAAATGGCTTATTTTTGTTATCGATCGTGTTATTTGTTTTTAAACGTTTCTACATTGTAGCTGATAACTGACCTAGATTCCGGTCCAGTTTTTTAAGATAAAACCATACAGATAAGAGATTATCGATTACGAGTGGGTTTCTACCAAAAACAGTCTTTTATTCTCAAATTCATCACGCAAAAATTGAATGAATAATCATTCTTACACATAATGCTGATAGTTCTATTAACAACCAATAGATTTAATATCCAGAAATCGAAAGCTCAGCTACTAGGGATCCAGGAGCTAGAATTGACATCGATACAAAAAATAGCCAAAATTCCAACAACGAAAGCAAAAATGAGCAATGTATAATTTTAATCCTAGATATACATGATATAGTTCAAAGTGTATTTCAAGTTATGTATAGGGGATACTTTTTTAGAAGAAAAAAATCAGCACTTTAAAGTCCTCTGCCATCTTTACCACAGTGAAATACATGGAGATAACGTTCAATTTTTAAGCTAAAAAATAATACAAATCAGGAGCAGAGCAAGCACGAACCTCCAAATCATCAGAGGTGGAATCGGGTGCAATGAAGGAGTGATAGGAATGAGGAAATAGGGGAAAATCCGTTGACAATTTAAATTGTGATAATAACCTAACTGTTAGGATAAAAAAGTTAGTCAGCATTTGGCGTAATGATAAATTGTATTTGCTGACAAGGTCATTGTATCCACCATAGAACGTGTTGTTATTCTTGTTTCATCAACGTGCACCGGGGTTGTCAATATCTTGCATCGCTTTAGAAATTGTTCTTACGTAGAGCATGATCTTGAGTATTGAATCAACTGAGAGATATAAACTCCGTATGTAGGTGATAAAGGTATAATGCTGCATAAGTAAGGTACGGTGACGATTGAAAAGTTAGTGTCAACCATATTTATCATAAGTTGTTTGATTCCCATTAACGTCTTATCTTAGTAAAATATCCGAATAGGCAACGTATATGTCAGACTCGCTGATATTTATTATGTCATGCTCAGGGACATACATTGTATCGATATAATTCCTTATTAGATCTGAAATGAAGGAGGGAATTAAAAAAAATTATCTTAATTGATGTGTTTAAGTTTGGATATTGTGAAATCACATATTTTCGTGGGGTCAAATTTTCGAGGTTTGAAGAAAAAATTCTGGTTTGTGGGTATTTGATTTCGTGGTTGGAAAATGTTTAGTAGATATGCATTGATTGGTGAATAAACATATATCATTATGCATATGAAATTTTCCATCTCGTGGTAGTCATAAATTCGTGGGTCTCTCCATACCTCGAAAGCAATGGAAAATTTAACCCCCACAAAATAAGTGATTTCGCAGTATCCGGTATAAAACATTAATGCATTGCATTGTGAAAAGTTGAAATTTTAACAAAAAGAAATTATAATGAAGCAGATTATTTATTACATTTATCTATTTTTAAGGTATTATATCATTGTCAATCGTTATCGGGGATCATGATATTTCTAAAAGGGAGACACATTCGCAAAATACCACTCTATACGACTCCATTTATGGTTACAACGAATATAAAAGATTGTACCCAACGAAAGGTTTGTATAAAAGCTGGTAGTAAGTATAATCTATAGAGGAAACTGTCTAAGAAATAATTTTTAAAAGCGGCAATTTTGAATAACTTTGTGTTTATTATCAACAAAACGTAATTAACTTTTTCTGCTTCATTTTTCAACGTCAATGTTACTTTAAAAATATTGCACATGCCTCAAAAATGCATCTGTGAACTTTAACAGTATCAAGGAATAATTAAAGCATAACTATGTTTATAAAACGACATCTAATTTTAAAAAACTTAAGATACAAAATATAATTACTGTAAAATCATATATTTTCGTGGGGTCAAATTTTCGTGGTTTGAGTAAAAACTCTTGGTTCATGGGGACTTTAATTCGTGGATGAAGAATTGATTAATTTTGTATGTAACATTTGATATTTCGTGGTAAACATGAATTCGTGGGTCTCTTCATACCTCAATTCGTGGGTCTCTTCATACCTCGAAAACAACGAAAATTAACCCCCCACGATATTTGTGATTTCATAGTAATAAACAACAACCGTTATCTGAGTTTTAGTGTAATAAAAGTCTCCTTGCTTGTATCATGAAAAACACAAAGCTATCATGATCAACATCACGTAAATATTGTATTTATCAATTAATATGCTTCAGATAATATAGACACATGGATGTACAAAAACAAAATAATTCATAGTGCTTTAAATTTACTGTAAGTTCAAATTAAGACGCAAGAGCATGTCCAATGTTAATAGAAGACAAGCTACCGGCAAATTAATTAATGTTGCAGGACTCTAGAGTTTCATTAAAATACAATTTGCAAATTTTGTGTTCGTAATAATGATTTTGATTGGAAAATGCAACCTATCCTTTGGTCATATAATGTACTTAGGATATTGGCTTATATGCTACAAACTATTGGTTATATATAGTTCTGAGCTAATCTGACTTCAGATGATTCCGTTTTCCGAGGGGTGATTTTACTGCTAGACATGCACCTGTTCCCACCTCTAATGTTTCCACGGGTCCGTATTGTGTCCTTGTTCAATTTTCCTCTTAAGGTTTTAGCTTAAGCACAGTAAATGTTCATTTTCTTCTCTTTGTTATACATGTAATTAAAATACCTAGTATGATATTTTTAGGGACATCGAAATTTTTTTTACAATGAGATCAGATCCATTTCTTTAAAAATAAGTTCAATTAATGTTAACTTCGCTAGCAGACTTTATGACAAATGTGATGATTTCATCTCTAACGTCAACTTCTCTTACATATGAAATAGTAAACAATTGTCACCTATATATTAAGTTTATGTCTCTTAAATGATTCGATACGCAAGAGCATGCTCTACATAAGAAAAATTTCCAAAACGAGGTAAGCTATTGAGAAAAAAGTTGATGACACAAGGTTATCAACAGTCTCTTAAAGTCAAAATTGAGCAAAGTCTATAGTTGATACAGTCGAATGTTAGTTGTTTTTAAACAAGTTGTTAGACGATTATTTTACACTGCATTGTCTACAGATTCTTCCGATTGTCCGATTATGTCAAAGGTCACACTGCGAGTTTGACTAGTTGCTATTGGTTATACGTATTCCATTTAAGATGTTTTGCACTGCTCGCCATTTGTCTTGATTCAGTGTACAAGGAATTTCAAAATAAGTTTGCTTTCCTTTGCTTGCAGCACCAACATTATGCTATGATAGCATTGGTATCAACGTAAATGGGTCAGTATTCAATAACTTTACGTGTCCACTTCCTGACCAGGACAGAGGATTGATCGTCTGCTGTAACAACACATGCTGTAGACCAAAGATTGTCAAGAAAAATAAGAGCAGTGACAGCACCGTGTATGTAGAATATTTTAAGCTAATAGAACTTTTTGGTAAATTTCAATAGACCAGATGTTTTGAAAGTCTATATGTTGTATATATATAGTATATGTTCGTCAATGTAAACTTATATAATCCAGATGACCTTGTTTTGACAGTACTGTGGCGGTGGTTGTTATTGTTAAATGGTATGAATCCTGATGACCTTGTTTTACAGTACTGTGGCGGTGGTTGTTATTGTTAACTGTTATAAATCCTGATGACCTTGTTTTACAGTTTACTGTGATTTTTTCGCGGATTACACGGTTGTCATTGTTAACCGTTATAAATCCTTTCACGGCGTTGTTAGAGCGTTGTCAGCCAGATGACCTTGTTTTACAGTACTGATCTTGTTCTGTGTTTCACTTAATGAAAACTGGTGTTTATTTATTTTTTTTTTACATTGTTTGAACCAATGAAATTAAAAAAAAAGGAGTAATCATAAAACTATTAATAATTAACTTTAAATATAGAACATTTTTAATGACATTTCTTGTTTTCATGTTGTTGTGTTACATTTCTTCTGAATATATATCAATGATGGTTGTCATTGTTACCGCGCCGTTATAAAGAGATCTCCGTGGGAACGCAGTAGAACGCCGTAAGATCCTTGTTTTACATCTTCATATTGTGAAAATTTTACAGATATTTGTAATTTTCCTGGTTCCACAGCGATTTTAAAAATTTAACAACGTCATTGTTAACAGTTATAAATCCTGATGACCTTGTTTTACAGTACTGTAGCGGTGGTTGTCATTGTTAACTGTTATAAATCCTGATGACCTTGTTTTACAGTACTGTAGCGGTGGTTGTCATTGTTAACCGTTATAAATCCTGATGACCTTGTTTTACAGTACTGAGGCGATGATGGTCATTGTTTACTGTTATAACTCCTAATTAACTTGTTTTGACAGTACTGATTCGATGGTTGTCATTGTTACCGTTATAAATCCTGACGACCTTGTTTTACAGTACTGTACCGGTGGTTGTCATTGTTAACCGTTATAAATCCTGATGATCTTGTTTTACAGTACTGAGGCGATGATGGTCATTGTTTACCGTTGTAACTCTTAATTAACTTGTTTTGACAGTACTGTATTGATGGTTGTCGACTTACCGTTATAAATCCTGATGACCTTGTTTTACAGTTGTGTGGCGGTGGTTGTCATAGTTACCGTTATAAATCCTGATGAACTTGTTTTGACAGTACTGTATCGATGGTTGTCATTGTTACCTTTATAAATCCTTATAACCTTCTTTTGACAGTACTGTATCGGTGGTTGTCATTGGTTCCGTTATAAATCCTAATGACCTTGTTTTGACAGTACTGTGGCGGTGGTTGTCATAGTTACCGTTATAAATCCTGATGACCTTGTATAACAGTACTGTGGCGGTGGTTGTCATTTTTACTGTTATAGATTCTACTGATCTTGTTTTACAGTACGGTGGCGGTGGTTGTCATTGCGGTGTGCGCTGTGGTGATTTCTCTCTGTGCGGTTCTCTACTACTGCTACCTCCAGAGGAGGCCAGGGATACGAAACGGAAAACTGGTCTGGATCAAACGGAAAAAGAAAAAGGGTATATCTACATACTCAGTAGTTAATTCACACCCAACATCTGAACATAATTTCGAAATTAATCCATTCCTCCCGCAAAAAAATCAGAATCCTGGCCTATAACCCACAACCCTCCCACAAAAAAATCCTGATCCTTGCATGCAATCACATTAGTCATTATAAAGGTACCCCTACTGATTTAATAGCTACTTTGCCCACAAGCTTGTGGGCTGTGTAGTATGTTTAAATATGTTCTGTTAAATCTAAGTTCTGTTTGATTTCTTATTAGTAGTGAATGAGGAGGGAGGAGCGTCCTCAGAAACTGGAAATGCTGATGACGAGGTGGAGGAAGTGCTTGCCGTGGTGTGTTCTACAGACAAAAATGGCCACGTGATGCACCATTCCCGTAAGTTGGTTTTCTTCCTTGCAGGGAGAGGAGGGTCATTATATCTTGATTCCTTGCGTGCACGCTTAGGCGTCGCCGGTAAAACTCAGTTTATGACATTCAAATCAGCATTAATGGGCTCAAATACCAAATTGGAAGATAAATTTTCCCCAATTAAAGATATAAATTATCTTCATATACATGTATTTCGTGGAGTAAAATTGAAATTTTATTTTTCATCTGCTTTTGAATGAACCTTTCTAATTAGATAGAATAAATTGATAATTTTGCTAGTTGTTTCACTTCATGTGCAAATTAAACACTAGCATCTACTCAGGTATAACTATATTAGGAACTATATCAATTGGAATTTTTAATATTATTTTAGTTACATGTATACAATTTGAAATTCCTTAAATGGTACAACATGAAATCACATAAATTGAAACTATCATGACATATTGTTTTATTAGATGATACACCACATGACACGACAAATGAAGAGAAGAAGGTTTTTCTACTCCCCGAGGAACTAGTGGAAAAGATAGAAATGGACATACATGAGGGATCCTGTCCCAGAAGTCGCAGGGGAAGCCATAGCTGGTTATCTTGAGAACGAGGCTACAGGGAAACAGGATTGTGATAGGAAAATTGTTGATTGGGATCAAAAATGCAGAAAGACAGCTAGAATACATGTATGAAGCATTTTCTTTCCTGTGACCTTGCACACTACAATTAAACTAGTACAATGGTCATTTTGAATTTCTTGCAGCAGAGAAGGAAAAATGGACTTTTTTTCAACTAAAAACTGAGTAACAGAATTGACATTTCTATTACTTGTAAATGCATGCCGATTATTTTTCAGAGATACGAGGACTGTTCAATAAATGATATCCTCGGTGCTCGGAAAGAGGCAAAAGACGCTTTTCAATGATTTAGTCTAAATGATTTAATCTAATATTCTCTTACAATTAAAACAGATGTCCATAATTTTTTTTATCCAATTTCTGATTGTTTTTAGAACTCATTTTTGGTTTGACCCTTAGTATACTGGAAAATGACAGATCTTATGATTTCCTGGACTCGTTTCTTCCTTCTGAAAGGCGTTTGGAAAATGAAACATGTCAAAAGGCGAAAGATCTGGCGAATATTGTTAATGTGAAAAAAAATTAACTTTCTGTTTATCCCAAAAACTCCTTTACTCTTCAGGGCGTGGGGGTTTGGTCGCTGTCATGAAGAAATTTAATGTAGTGGATTCCTGATTCTGGTTCCTTCCTCTCATTAACCTTTCTATTTTTTTTGCAAAAACTTTGCTTTCTAGACTCTTCCAGAAATTAAACTGCCTCCCCGAATACGAATTGGAACTACAAGACCACTATTATTTAAGAAAATTGCATATAAATCTGTCTTTGTGCTTTTGCAATTCTTTGCTCCTCTCAGACCTTTGCTGTTTTTGTCAAGTATACCTTATAGTAAACGTTGTTTCGAGGGTTTTAAGCAATTGATTCAAGTTTCATTATCTGTTTGAATTTCAAACAGACGTGGATAACTACAATTACTGATATTTTAAAATAATTGTTTAGATATTCTTATACGCTGTCGTTTTCACTTATTTTTCAAAACATAGGGTTACCTTTGAGTACTAAGCTTTTTTACTATCAAACGTTTATTTAAAACAGTGTGACATACTCCCGAAATGAAGTCTATCAAATTTGCTATGTGTTTTAAAGTCAATCATACTTCATTAGTGGTTATTTGTTGAAATTCAAACAGAACATTATTGATATAATTTTTGTTGGCAAGGACGGTACCCATATTTGATGCCCATTATATAATTTTTTATCATTGAAATCCACCTGCTCATTTGTCTATAAAACAGACAGTGGTTGCCGTAAATTTTACATATTTCAGTGAATATTTCTTTGAGATTCTTAACGAGTTTTACAATAGCTCAATGAAGCGTTTAATTTCACGCTAGTTAACTGATTCTTTACCATTCATTTTTAATGCAGTGTCTCGAATAGCCCTTGTTTTCCAGCTTCTCACAATGAAACTATGTGATGAAAAGTGGTCATATAAATTGCTATTAATTCATTAAAGATTCAATAATGCGAAAAAGTCCAGCTTAAGGTCATATGATATCTGTATTGTATGTCGTACAGTTCAGGACATTATTTATTGAACAGCCCTCGTATGTACAAATTAACCAAATGTTCAACTTACGTTACTCTTTACATCATTCTTACTAAGATTGAGCTACACTGTATTCTGATGAGTTAACCCTAATCTGTCTGTTGTCCGTAAACAAAACACGTTGAATATTATATAGCTTTCATTTTTCTCTAGAGTTAGCAAGCTAAGTTAAAATGAAATCATGAGATTAGACATCTCTTTCTGAGAGAATTTGCTTGAATAGATGATTTTTATAAGGGATTTTTTATTTGGAGAAGATGGCCTGAATGGCTGAGATGAATTTTTATTGGAATCGAGTGGTAGGATTTTGGAGAAAAAATTCTTTAAAAGATTTAATACCCGGTATAAGATACCCTTTTCTCCAAAACGGCAAAAGGCTCTGTTAATTAAATTTATCGTACAAGTTTTACTATATATATATACACAGGAGAATCAGTTTGTTCAAATTGCAATTCTTTGAGCAAAATGACAGCATTAGGGGTTCAAGGGGATATATATGTAAATTATTTAAAATATATAATTATGTAAATTTCCACAAAAATTTAGAAAGTAGCAAATAAACTGAGTACTAATGAAACCAGATAATAAGTAACTGTTGTAAATTGTTAATATGCAATCAATGTCTTTATACAACGAAAACGCATTTTGAAAGAAGGGGGTGGAGTATCTTCGGGTGTTTAGAACAGTATTGATGTATTTACGTACCTTATGTTATATTTGTGATATTTCTTTTATATTTGCAGCAAGTTGACAATGAAAATATGGTACCATATCAATTCTTTGCAAAATGTTTCTTCAATCTTGAGCGTCATGTAAACTTAAGCAATATTTGGATATCATTTACAATAAATTTTCTAAATATCCTCGTTGTGTTCATCAAAATGCTGAGATTGATGTCACCAAGAACAAAAATTTAGACCAAACCACATGACTTATTAAGAACTACAAATGTCTATTGGTATATCTCATCTGTTAGCAATGACGGCGTCTTGTGGTATAGGTATATCAAGGACACCTTGCACATACATGTACATGTATATACAATTCCGCTTTTTTATATGTTAAAAAGTACTCAGCATATTACTCTATGTAAACCTATAATTTCATTGTCTCAGAAATTACAGGAAACATTTCATCATGCTCAAATAACCATTGATTCAATACAAATAGAAGCAGAGCAAACAAAGACCTATACCATTATAGACGCTGGATCAGGTGCCATATGGAAGGGATGTATACAGTGGCCTACTGAGAGTTGCTGTATATACAGAGGAGGTATACCCTACCATACTGTAGAAATACCGTTACAGTAGATAACTTTGAAAATGCTGTAGGTTACAGAGAAAGACAGGGGATTTTCATACGGACAGATGGGTATTTCGAAAGCCAGTAGACTTAAAGGTCTAAGTTCTTCCTGTGCTCTGCCTGATCGGGGAATCGGGAAAATCCGTAAGCAATTCATTGTGTATATAATTGTTTAACAATTATTATGAAAAACGTTAGTCAGCATTCGACAAATGATGGATTGTTTTACTGACAAGGTCATTGTACCGCCAACAGAACAGAACAGAAATGATGACTCTATACGAGACTTTTGATGGCCTTGTTTCATCAATGTGTTTGTCAATGAATTGCATAGTTTTTGAAATTGTCTAAATTATTTTGTATTTGTCAATTTTCTAAAGTTTTTTGACAATTATTTATTTATAATTTAATAATAAAAAAAAAACAGTTTACAGTAGGTACCGCTAAACATGGTAAATTAAGATATGAATGCAAGTTGTCAAACTTTACTAATACTACAATGACTACAATAAGACAATGATGGTAAAATAAAAATAATGTTAAATTAATTTTTAATTACATGATAACAAATTAGTTTTTATAGCGTATGTAAGGATTTCGATTTATTCGTTCAACATATCTGTCTTTAAAATAATTTTTTTGCTTCCTTTAATGTTTATTGTTTGAACCTCAGAGAACGTGACTTGCATCACGCGACAAGGTTAACACGATCCAAGGTGAAAAGTACATAACTTGTGTGTGGATTTAAAGATCCTAACGAACCCCCGTAATAAACACTTTGCTGTAGGTCGATGACCGCTGTAAATTCTGGATAATGGCATCCACTACCGGGGCTCGGGATCTGGAGCAGATAGTACGGGACGGACTCAGTACATTAGTGCTGGGGTTCGGATACAAGGTGGGGATCGTTGACCACTTCATTAAAATCAAGCAACCATGTACTGCAGAGGAACTCAGTCAGCAAGCCGGGATGAAGATAAGGTGAGACGTTAATGACTCTATATATAAATTCAATTCAATTTTTTATCGGCCCTAGGCTAAAGAACATTATACAGGAATTTGTTGTTATATATAGGCAATATAGCCATCCATATACATGTATATTGATACCGGTATATTACAAAATATTAACTTGTAGCATGCTTCTTTCTCACACTAAAACAGTTTCCGATATATTTAGACAGATCTGTTTTGATTTTAAAAATACTTTGATTTTATTTACTTTTGAAGAAATAAAGCAAACTTAATTCAAATTTTTTAAACTAAATAATTAAGTATCCCAACAACAGCGACTTGTTGCACGAAAGGTAAATATACAATAGAGTGAAAGGGCTCGATTCTCCTTTTTAGTTATCCCTTGGGCATGTTGGGGATCCGGGTTAGAATAGGTCCTCAGTACCCCCATGCTTGTCGTAAAAGGCGACTAAATGGGGCGGTCCTTCGGATGAGACCGTCAGACCGTACAAACCGAGGCCCCGTATCACAGCAGGTGTGGCACGATAAAGATCCCTCCCTGCTCAAAGGCCGTAAGTGCCGAGCATAGGCCTAAGATTTGCAGCCCTTCACCGGCAATGGTGACGTCTCCATATCAGTGAAATATTCTGGAGAGGGACGTTAAACAGTATACAATCAATCAATCTCCTTTTAGTTAATTTGAAAACTTCAGTTACAAAGATTTTTGTCGCCTGCTTTCGCGAAAGAGAGAATGTATTAAATCTAATTTGTCTGTCAGTCTGTCCGTCTATCACAACAACTTTTACCTTGGTCTTTTGAATGAGAAGAGATAGATTTTTCATATTTTACATGTACATTATTAAAGACGATGAAGACAAATATAACGTCTTAAAATCAATTATTTTTGATTTGGCGATTTTGGCCACGACCTACATAATACAATATAATTATACTTTATTAATCGTTATAACATAACTCCTTATAAACCTAATAATCCTTTTCCTTATAAACCATGTAAACCTTATATCCTTATCCTTAAAAACATATATCCTTATCCTGATAAACTTTGTATCCTTATCCTTATAAACATTGTATCTTTGTCCTTACAAAGTCCTGAAGATTTGAATACTGACAACATTCAAGCTGGTACTGGGTTAGCAGATACTCAGCAGAAGTTGTACAAATACCTGTGACAAGATCTTTCTAAATACGTACTATGATTTTTCACTGTGATCTAGACATTGAAGTTTGATCTAATTTTCAAAAATGTTATCTTTTTCCTTATAATTTTTGATTGAGAGGCAGATAGGGCTTTTATATTTGACATGTCTATTACCTGTAATAATATACATGTACTCAGTACTAGTATTTCCTAGCATGCTATGATTGTTGACCCCTTGGCCTTCATGTTAAACATAATTTTCAAAAATTTTAACTTTGATGATCACTTTTGAATGACATATAAAGCATTCATATTTTACACAATATGCCATAAATAATGGTATTGTCATTAATCTACACAGGAGGCGGGGACCACAATTCTCTGAATTTCCTTGTTACTTGTAATTTTCACACATTCTACGCTACCTTCCATGTTTACAATAATTGATAAAATATAGGTACCGTAATCGCACTGTGAGACGTAAAAAACATCAAAGCAGTCCAATATCTCAATATTTTTTTCAGACTGCTCAGAAAAAATACAATGGAAATGTATTGTGGGTATAGAAAGGAATGTCTCGTCATCAGGCCTGTCAAATACCTCAATCTCAGTATCTTACATATTATCGTAAACATGAAAGCCAGAACAAGATATTTCTAAATCAAAAAAGTAAAAGTATAACTAAACATTTATTGGCCGTGTTCTCGGGAACATTTCGCTTTGTCGATCCCTCGAACTGAACTGATTGTCTTGGTCTTACGACCTCTGGCAAATAGTTTAGTTCCTTGGGTCTGACAAAACGCATGTTGCCCTCAAACCCAGTCAATGTGCGATTTATTTACATGTAAGCTCTAAATAACAGGTATATACAAGAGTGGCTGGGATGCATGGCAGCCTCGGGGATCGTACAAGTCCATGACGACGGACGGTATTCTCTTCCTTATGAGGAGAAAGTACTGAGGGAACAGGGCCATATTGCCAATGCCCTGCCGATACTGTGTGAAGCAGTGCCTCTTCTTGAGAAAGCAGTTACTGAAGATGGACCCAGAGGTTTAAAAATAAATTGATATACAATTTCATTGAAACTGATCAGTCGATTACAATGAGGATTTAGAGAACGAAAAGTTATATTTTAATGACGGTGCACAAAAAACTGAATTTACTCTTGTCATTTCATTGAAAAAAAATAAGTAATTTTAAAGTTTAGAATCGAAACAAGTAGAAGATAAATATGTTTATTAATAAACATTCTTCAGGTTACCCGTATACTGCACCATTCCTGAAATTCGTGGATGGATTTCGCACACCAGAGGCTGTTCAAATCTGGATTCAAAATTCACTCCGCCCGGTGCTCGAAATGAAACCAGGTATTGTACTTCTTACAAACCTACATGTATCTGAAAGATTATCTTTAGTTTTATTTATAAGAAATAACTGAGTCCTTTCTTTGGAACCATGTCATGCAGGGTTTTTTTTTTTTTTTTTTGCATAATACATGTATCTCTAAATGCAAAAATACGTTGCACAGAACGTATATAATTTTGTTTGAATATTCGTAAAAAATATAAAATACATGTACTATAAATTTTTGGTTCTGTTTTTACAGGTAACGAGTTTACTTTACTAGACTTGGGCTGTGGATACGGGGCCCACGCTAGGAGGATAGCTCATCTGTATCCCCAGAGTAACGTGTACGGGGTGGACATGGATCAGAAATCCATAGACCGGGCTAACTCAGAGTTAAACAAGGAGGGAATTAAGAACGCTCAGTTCGTGTGTACTGTAGGAGGACAACTGCCGAGTGACTGGACAGAAAAGTTTGATTTCGTCATCATAAATGACGTTCTTCATGACGCACCAGGAGTGGATGAACTTCTGACGGAAGTGAAGCGAGTCCTCCGGTCAGATGGTTTCGCCGCTGCGTTTGATCCGGCTATATCCTCTTATCATAAAAACCAGGCAAATGACAAAAAATCACAGTTAATGTTACCATTTAGTCTTTTTTCATGTCTTCCCATGAGCCTTTCGGGCCCTACCGGCGAGGGACACGGGGTGGGATGGGGCTATGAGCTCCGGAAGGAGAAGATAGAACAACATGGATTCCGTGTGGTCAGAGTCGGTGACTGTGACGTCAACACGATACAGGACAGGATCGTTTTCCAGAAGTAACGTTTTATGTACAAATTGACATCAAATACAATTCTTGTACCAGACTTTTGAAATATCCAATCTAAAGAGGCTTTGAATGCCAAACTTGATCGTATGGCTATATACTGAACTTTTTATTTATGTATATACTCTCAATATTTTTTTATATAATAATTTCAAATTTTTAATGATTTAATCTTAATATATGATAAATTCCAGAAATAATCAATTTACCAAATTAATATTCATTGTATAGAATTATCCAGTATATTTTTTCTATCAAGATAATTGAAAGAGTAGTCTCTCTTTTCTACATATATTATATTTTTTTAGCTCACCTGAGCCGAAGGCTCAAGTGAGCTTTTCTGATCACATTTTGTCCGTCGTCCGTCCGTCTGTCCGTCCGTCTGTAAACTTTTCACATTTTCGACTTCTTCTCAAGAACCAATGGGCCAATTTTAACCAAACTTTGTAAAAAGCATCCTTGGGTGAAGGGAAGTTTAAATTTTTAAAATGAAGGGCCAAGTTTCCTTACAAGGGGAGATAATCAAGAAAAGACAAAAATAGGGTGGGGTCACTAAAAAATCTTCTTCTCAAGAACCACTGGGCCAGGAAAGCTGAAACTTATAAATACGGAAGCATCCTTGGGTAGTGTAGATATAAAATTGTTAAAATCATGACCCCCGGGGGTAGGGCGGGACCACAATAGGGAATCCAAATTTTACATAGAAATATATAGAACAAATCTTTAAAAATCTTCTTCTCAAGAACCACTGGGCCAGGAAAGCTGAAACTTACGTGGGAGCATCCTTGGGTAGTGTAGATATTAAATTGTTAAAATCATGACCCCTGGGGTTAGGGTGGGGCCACAATAGGGAATCCAAGTTTTACATAGAAATATATAGAACAAATCTTTAAAAATCTTCTTCTCAAGAACCACTGGGCCAGGAAAGCTGAAACTTATGTGGGAGCATCCTTGGGTAGTGTAAATATTAAATTGTTAAAATCATGACCCCCGGGGGTAGGGTGGGGCCACAATAGGGAATCCAAGTTTTACATAGAAATATATAGAACAAATCTTTAAAAATCTTCTTCTCAAGAACCACTGGGCCAGGAAAGCTGAAACTTATGTGGGAGCATCCTTGGGTAGTGTAAATATTAAAAATTGTTTTAAAATCATGACCTTATGTGGGAGCCCCTGGGGGTAGGGTGGGGCCACAATAGGGAATCCAAGTTTTACATAGAAATATATAGAACAAATCTTTAAAAATCTTCTTCTCAAGAACCACTGGGCCAGGAAAGCTGAAACTTATGTGGGAGCATCCTTGGGTAGTGTAAATATTAAATTGTTAAAATTGTGACCCCCAGGGGTAGGGTGGGGCCACAATAGGGAATCCAAGTTTTACATAGAAATATATAGAACAAATCTTTAAAAATCTTCTTCTCAAGAACCACTGGGCCAGGAAAGCTGAAACTTATGTGGAAGCATTCTTGGGTAGTGTAAATATTAAATTGTTAAAATCATGACCCCCGGGGGTAGGGCGGGGCCACAATAGGGAATCCAAAGTTTTACATAGAAATATATAGAACAAATCAAGAACCACTGGGCCAGGAAAGCTGAAACTTATGTGGAAGCATCCTTGGGTAGTGTAGATTCTAAAGTTTTAAAATAAAAAAGGGAAGGGGGTTGTTGGGCATGATAGGTATAGCAAGAGGGGGAATCTGGTAAAGATCTGCATCACCCAAGTTACTCAGGTGAGCGATGTGGCCCATGGGCCTCTTGTTATATTTATCCAGTTCTTGTATTTGGTAAGCAAAAAGGTCGTTCTATACCGTATGGATTTTCAATATGAAATTCCCTAATCGTAGATTTTCAAATATATATCCCCGAGGGTCCTGATAACAATTCAGAATCTACACTACCCCCATTATGCTTCCACGAAAGTTTTAGCTTTCCTAGCCCAGTGGTTCTTGTGAAGAAAATTTCTTTTTTGAAATTCCTATATATTTGTAAAACTTGGATTCCCTATTGTTACACCGCCCTACCCCAGGTGTTCATGGTCTGATCGATGTAGAATCGGCACTCACAAGGATTTTTCCATATTCTGCTTTTCTGCCCAATTGGTTCTTGAGAAGATTTATTTTTAAAGATCCTATATATTTGAATGAATAACTTGGATTCCTTATTCTGGCCCCGCCTTATTCACACTACCCAAGGATGCTTCCATGCAAGTTTCAGCTTTTCTTGCCCTTTGGTTTTTTAGAATGAGATATTTTTAATAACACACCCTCTTTTTGTTTTTCTTGAATACCTCCCTTTATGAGGGGACTAAGCACTTTGTTTTTTTTTAAACTCTACTGGTCAGAGACCAGAAGAGCTTATGCGATGTTAATGTGCCCGTCGTCCGTCCGTGCAGCTGTCTTTCTGTCTGTAAACAATTTTTCAAAATGCTACTCCTCCTACAGCTTTGGTCTGATTTCAATATAACTTAGCACACAAGTAGACTGACAATACATGTCATATATATAATTCTCTATCAGGCAATACATCCATGAGTGTGTAGAAAACACAGGCATGTTTGGAGTATTTATATACCAAACTTAAAATTTATCCACCCCACATCGATTTTTATCAATTGATTGGAAATAAAGTAATTGTTATATTTATAATATACTGAATGAATAGAATTAATGTACAAAAAATTCTTAAATGGTATAAAGCATCAATATACACTGGACAAAATTGCTAACGCACCACACAATGAAAGTAATATTTTACTTTTCAAAACTTGTTTATGATACATTTGATATATTATTATGATACATAATCAAAAAATAAAACATTGAAATGTCTCAATTGATAATAAACTACAATGTTTACTGAAGCGTGACCATTTCATAGAAAACGTGGAAATGTTATCCATACTAATTTGAAGGAAAAATTCTAATTTTTCCTTTGCATTTTTGTTCTTTATGCTTGTAATAATTAGAAAATTAGAAAAAAAATTATACCGTATGCGGCATTTGATCCAAGAAGAGCGTGAAAAAACAGACAGTATGGTGTCTGAAGGGGGTTCCTTTGGGAAGATTTGAAAATAATAATAACGATGAAATCAATATTTATTCTTCTAGTGAAAGAATGTTGCAAATAGATTAGTAAACATAAAAATGTTCCCTCTAGATAGCCAATCCATTTAGTAAACACTACACCACATTTTCAATGTCGTTCCACAAATTTGGGGCAACAGGAAGTTGGGTAGACTGGGCATGGACACCAATGCATTGGATGACTAGCAGGCGATATAATAGTCAATTGTTGCATATTATTTAATTATTTTTTATTGTAAGATTGTCTCTATTGTAAACACAGGGACAATCATCAGTAATTAGCAACGCGTATATCTAGGCAAAAAAGGGGCACGCAATGCATGTCGGGAAATTGGGTTTCAGGCAAGAAGGTCAATTTGGGGTTTGTTCTGACACCATGACTTTTGCCAATTCCATTGTATTGGAAAATATGGCGTATTATATATACTGATATCAATTAGGCAAATGTTCAATTCATAAAGAAGAATTTTAAGTGGTGCGTTAGCAATTTTGTCTAGTGTATTACATAGTTACATAGATGTAACAAGCTGTCTGAGAATACTACATGTTATACATGCATTCTCTCCCTATCTTCTGAATGTGTTATTTTTAAGCTGTCGAGTTTCAGAAGATAGATTGAAGCAATAAAATTTAAATACAGCTGAGTTTGATCTTTGATGCTCTTTCAAGAAATATATTGTAAATTTAATGGTAAATGTACCTGAACACATAGGCGTCGGAAACGGAGGGTTGCTAGGGGGGCCAAGCCCCCCCCCCCCCCCATTTTTTGGCAAAGATAGACATTATATAGGCATGAAAGTTCCTATTTCTCTAGTTCTATATTCTTGCGTACCTCTAAAACATTTGATGAAATTGAGCAATGAACATGATTTTTAATATGTAAAAAATATAGTATTTCAATGTTGTTCTCGGATAATTTATCTTTAGCTTTTTTGTGTACGTACTGGAAGTCGTTATTTGGCAACATAGGGTACAAAAGTGGCGTCGTATAGACAGTGCCTGCTGTCCGATCCTGATCACTAGGAAACATAACTCTGTACACCTTGCAGTATGAGCGAGTAGTCGATCGTACATGTAGATTTGTAACAAGCGGCCGATACCAATATAAAGAGTATGGAATGTGACTTGTGTCGCATCGTTTTATTTTATATGATTCGTATTTTCAATGACATTTACAATTGATTATGTAGGGGTTGTACGGGATATATCATTTACCTCTGTTAAATTTAAATTTTAATCAATTTAAATTTGTATATATGACTGACAATTAAAATTTCCTAAATTGATTGAAATTCAAAATTTGGCTGAGGACATTATTGGTTCATAGAATAAAAAAGTATATAACAGAGAATAGAATAAAAGATATGCAGTGTACTTATCCACAGGGGCCGGTAACATACTAGTATATATAAATTTGATTTTAATAATAACAATAAACATGAATATATATATACAACTTTTGTATATATATATATATATATATATATATATATATATATATATATATATATATATATATATATATATATATATATATATATATATATATATATATATATATATATATATATATATATGAATGATTTCGTAAAATTAATACAGTAAGTTACCGGCCCCGTGTCCTTACCAGAGTCTTATATTGTGTGTCAATTTACAAAAAAATTTCTTTTTCCCTTGAAAGTAAGCAATAGATATAATGAATTTTGTCGAAAAATTTTCTACTTTTATATTTAAGTCGAAACAGTTTATCTTTTAATTACTAAATACGATATATTTTAATTTGAGTCAATTTTGACTAATTTCTATGGCAGGTTTTGATAATGTTTATTCATTAGTTCCTGTTTTTCTTTTCTCAGATAGAATAAACTATAGACGATATATTTGGCGGTATACTCAATATTCAACCTTCAAAGAAGGAATGTAATTTTTTTTTCCTACGTGAAAGCTTAACTAGGCCAAAAAGTGCTTTTATATCCGGACTGGATAACGCAAATTGATATATACATGTGTTAACCTAACAATCTTTTGAACTACCGGCCCCAGATAGAAGCGTTTATTAGCCATTATCATTTATTTTAAAATTTACGTGATGGATTAAGAGAAAGAAGGGCCGGGAGAGGGGGTTAAGCTCAAGTCCCTTTCTAATAAATAATAATACATTTACTACCTATCTATAGCCTTAAATTATAAACAAGAATGCAGTTTTATTTGGAGCATTTTAAAAGTTGAGATACGAGTATTTTTGGGGAATTTTCAAATTAAAAACATTGTACGTTCAAAATAGCAGAGATCACGAGAGAGATAGAGTTTGAATTATACATGTATGTACACCGTAACGAGTACATTATATAATCCAGGTACATTTAAGTATTAATTATTATACATGTATTTGAAAATTTAGATTTACACAACAGGACCATTTGTTTGTCAACTCTCGCATAAGAATTGCTCACACATGTATATTAACCACAAAGCTTCATTCTTCGACAGCCGACTAATGGAAGATGACTTATCAACTCACTGATGTATGTCGATGTAAATAAATACCCAGCTTCTACGTGTATCACTTCTATTTTTAAATGGAAATTTTATTACAATGTTCTATTTACAAATACAAATAAAATTAAACGGGGTTTTCTTTAAAATACCTGGTTAAGTTTCCATTTGGTTGCCCTCCGTCATATTTTTTAAAGATTGATTTCCAACAAAACAAGTCCAGCTACGCTATGCATTGTACTCATATCATGTCTATTGTGGGAAAATTTCGGAAATTAAAACAATTAAAACAAAACAAAAAAAACTGTATATGATTCAACAGATTTACCCATAGTGGATTATATAAGGTCACTTGCCATGATTAACAATGTTCTTGAAATGCTGTAGAAGTAATGAACAACATTACATGTAGCCACATGAATTTGAATTTTTTTCAATATTTTTTTTTTCGTGCCATTAAAGTGATATTCAAAAAGATACATTGAATCTTATAGGATTTTGATATTCGCATCATTTGTACATGTATAACATGCCTCCATATCCATGCATTAATTACTTTGCTTCTAGGAAGTGTTTGTTATAAATTAATGTTATTTACTCAATATTCCAAGGTTTCTATTTTTTTTTTCAAGTAAAAGTACATTGGGAGGTGGGGGGGTGGGGGGGGGGGGGGTTTGAAGTTGATCTAATATTAAATTCCCCACCGAATCCCTACCTAAAACATTAACCATAATCCCATTGTTAAGGAATCCTTTTTTATTAAGTCTATACAGTGTATAAGGATTAAAAATAATTAATGTTAGCAACATCAACCCAAAAAAATAATTAATTAATGCTGGTGAGATATTTAGTAAGTCTATTAAGGAAGTCGCCAATGTTTTAGGACAGATGTTAGTAAAGTACACGTTATCTACAAGTACATAGGTCACACGAGGAGAGCACCCCATAAGGACCTACCAAATGTGTGACAATTGTATTTTTAACATAAAAACACGTTTATATGTATGTATTTTGCATAAGAATGTGTATTTTTATTTTTTGGTTTCAATTTAGTTCTGCGAGTATTATTGCAGATACATTTACCGTGAACATAAAACAACTTTACACCATACATTTATAGAGTACATGCATTTATACGAATATTAACTGCATGATGGTTATTTATACGATGGATAGCTAAGACTTTATTGATATAAGATTGGCTGCAAAGAGTAAATTGATTCAGTTTTAAAATACATTTGTATGCTAAATTTACTATTATAGTGAATATTTCTGATGTATTTCAAGAACAATGGGAAGGTTCACTGTAACTTTTTTTTTTATTATTCACACAACATACAGCATTATATACATATTTCAAAAGAAACAGAATGATGTGTGTTTTTTTTATTTTAAGAGAGAGAGAGAGAGAGTAAAGGTTCAAGTGAAGAGAACAGCAGATTCCACCTGTTCCACTGGGTATCAAACTTTTCCTTTTCACCATTCTTATAAGAAATAATTTTTTGTGTTTCATATTGAAATTTTATTTATGATATTGCACTGTTTACTGTAACTTCAGATGAGTTTACGTGTGTGTTTGTGATTTTAAATACATGTATATATATCGGAAAAAGAAAAAAAAGTACTAGTGATATGCAGTGCGGTAAAAAGCTTATTACTGAGTTTGTACTTTTAAGTTTGAATGAACTTTAAGCAAAATGCAACATAAGCTGATTACTTTACTACAGATTTTGATTTTTGAGGAGTTCAATCGTACCGTTGGAAAATTTCAAACCTTCAGTGAATTTAAATAGCTTTGGTAACCTTCGTGTTTTAGTTATTTAGGAGACGACTGTGGGTTGCCAACATAAAGTCACGTAAATCCCCGATGAAGAGGATTATTTAATTTGTCCAGATCGGTATATTATATAAAAATCCCTTGTTTGCTTCCTAGATTTAAGTAGAAAAACATTGATTACCGTTATCTGTATCTAGTAACAATAGACACAATACAGTCGATTACATATTAATATGTGCATGACCATTGACATCTACAGATAATATGTATTTGCATTGATAAATGCACATATAAATGAGTAAAAAATGGAGGAGGGGGCAAATCATGTGCACACAACAGTAGGTAAACAAATACTAGAAATAAAATAAAAAGTTAGCAGCTTGTTTGGTTTGAAAATGTATCTAGGCCTTTCATTTTTGAAATCTTATTAATCCAATCAAGGTTAAAATGATTTTTTTAATATTTAAAAAATCTGAAAATAAAACAAAGTGGTGTATAGATTTACAGAGTGGAAATACATGTACAATATTTTAATGCTACGTCAATTTGCTACAATTACTTGGTGTTGAAGTTCTCACATTCTAAGTGTACAAGGGCATCCGGTATTTTTTCTTCTGGATACAAAGGCGTGTTTGTTTGGGTTTTTTTTTATCAAACTAAACACCATCATGTAATAATTATCGAACTTTTATGATAATGTCACATTTGAAGCCTGAAATGTATACTGTATTAGTATAAAAATCATCGATCGTCAGAGAAAGTTAAATTTTTTGCACAGTTCCCGTCCATTCAGCATGTATACACGTATTCAAATAAAAGGGAAAATATATACAACAAATTAAGAACAGAATGCATTCATCATTTCCTACACAGTCTGTAGGAAGCAATTTCATTTTGGGAAGCAAAGACAAACAATTTCAGCTCAGGGCATTTTCAACTATCAGCACCCCGCTCCATGCGCCAAAAGGGTCATCCTGAAGACGTTATTATTGAGCCGGAGGAACAAGTGTATAGAACATGCAGATATGCTTTCTACAGTGTTCTATATATCTGCCAATTTACTGGGGCAGTCCCCCCGATTCCTACGGTCATGCTATAATACTCTTACTCAATTTTTAACTACTAGATTTTCAAATAAAATACTAGGGTATCTCATTAACGTTGCTGTTTACAAATTACTCCCCACTGCAATTTCATAAAAACAACTTTTTTTCTTAATATTTTATTTCATAACACAATAAAATTTGTGCAACAACAACATAAACCAACAAAACAGCATTTTATAAGTATAAATAAAAAAATCCTTTCAACAAATCCAAACATTGAGAACACAGTCTAATTGCAATATTATCTGTACAAAGTGTAATAAATATCAACAAAAGGGAATATATTGTAAATCGTTAGGAATCTTTACGAAACACTGTCCAAATATTTCATGGTTCCTAAGCTTGCTGCTTCTGCACGACATTTGTTTCCAAGACTCCTCCTGGATTGAGTATTTAAGGTTGTATTCCGGGGAATTCCGCTGAGAATCAAGTCCGCCATTGATAGAGAAATGGGAGCCCCGCAAGTAGAGACTAAATCTGTGACGGCATCCCGGCTGGGCCGCTAACATCACACTTGTATTTTCCTCAGTACAGTACTTGATGCAGTGACCCTGTTCAGTAAATATGTAAATGGATTGTCCGATAGCCATGCATCTTCCACCAGAACACTCTACGGGTAGATAACCCGCGATCTCCACGGACCTCGTCCTGCAATCAAACACTTGAATGACGGAGACGTTATCTCCGCTCTCTCTTTTCCCGCCAAACAGATAGACAAAGTCCCCACAGACAGCGGATACCACGGAGTGGACATTCCACTTTAAGTTCCCAGCAACTGTCCAGGAATTTTTCTTTCGGTCGAACTCCTCGATTTGGGAGACATTTTTTCCTTCGTGTCGCCCACCGAAAACATACAATTTATCGCGCACAGCTTCCATAGCATGGAAAGAGCGGGGATTCTTCATGTTGCTGCAGACTTTCCATTTGTTCATGATCACGTCACATTCAAGCATTTTTCTTGACGATCTTTTGTTTCCGCCAGAAAGGAAAATGTATGGAGGTTCTGAAACGCCAGGCTGCAGACAGCAAGCGGCGAAGCCATAGTTCATCTCTAAATTTTTCTTCAAAGATGCGGTATATTCTTTTTCTGTGTGCAGATCCAGAACCTTTGCTTCCGGGCATAGTTGGTTCTTGTTATTACCCTTTTGATTAAGGGAGAATGTTACCAAATACGATCTTCCATCACTTTGTCTTTGTGGTATTGGAAACAAATTACTATCAACTTTTTGTCTTAGAGATTCATAGACACCAGTGCGTTTGCCAGTGTCATACTGCCACCATTGGTACAAAGCGTCCCGAACACAGAGTTTGTTTCTGCACTGTGGACTATTTACAAGAGCTTCCATTTGCGTATTGGTCAAGGTAATGAATTCTGGAAACAAAGTAACATGATTTATGCTGTCCATAATTTCATCTGCACATTTGACAGTCACTTCAGACAAATCGAATTCGTCCGCAAGGTTAAATATATCAAACATGGTGTTCTTGTTTAAGTTGTGCAAAAGTTTCTTCGTGCACATATTTCTGAGTTGATGAAGACCGTGGATGGAGTTGCAGATCGTTAGAAAGTCCCGGATGTGATCGAAGCTAATGGAATTCTCGTTGATGCTACCAGTCCGTAGGTACTCAGTCATGGCTTTCTGACATTGCGGACTGATGGACTGGTAGACGCACACCGCCGACATGGCAGATGGTCCCTTAGCCTCCATGTTGCTTTTGTCGTCTGCTTTGTGACACAGACTGGTACTAGCGTTGTCGTGCATCTCACTAGTCCTTTAAAATAAAATTGAAAAATCATGTCACAAGCAGCAGACTTCAACAAGTACTTAGCAGGAAGTGGGGAAATAATAAGTGTTTTCTTCCGGTTAATTTGAAGTATTTCAATTACATTGCTCGCAAAATCTAAATGTTCTACTTAGATAACATGGTTATATCGCCGTGTTGAGAAAGGAAACTTGTCCTTGTTATATTTATTTAACAACAAAGCATATTGTTTGTTTGCATTGTTGGGATCGTTTTAATTTAAGGTCCTTTGTTTGCGCAAAGTTTCCTTCTTAAATATTTAAGTAAAAAAAAAAATTAAGGTCATTTTTTTTTTAAAAGTTCAAATCTGAGATCCTTTGTCTAACTACTGTCTAAAATTGTTTTCAAATGCACAAGAAAGTGATTTTATAGCACAAAACAATATATTCGTTTTACCTTGTATTCTTTAATGTTATATCCGCTCAAAGTCCTTTGTAATGTTGAACAAAAGTTAACAATGTAAAAATCAAAAATATGTTTTCTCTCTGGACGATAGGTCGTTCATGAAACACAATTTAAATATGTTAAGGATTTTATACTGAGAAATAAAGGTGTTTTGATTTATAAATAGAACAACGGAAAATTTCTGTGACGAAGAAAAAATGAAATCTATATTTAGCCGAATTACCAGTCCAGGTAGCTCAGGTAAGACTGACGACGTTGCACAACGTTCAGTAATTTAAACATATAATGTACACGTCAAAAGATGGAAAATTGAAATAGATAAACAAGCTGCAATGGTGGTGAAATTTCGTGGTACCGTTCATATAAAATATTTTAAATATTTTCTATAATGAATCACAAAAATTAAAATTCACAGAAAAGCGCTATACAATTAACAGATTATGGCCATTTTCCAGACTTCTCATTCTTGATTCAAGTCAGAAATGAAAACTGATATATTTCATAAAAGAAATATTTACATAAGAAATTAAACTCAAACATTGTTTAATTTAATCATCATTATACAATTTGAAAATACATGTATGCATATGCATGTACATGTATATTGCATGCAATTTTAATTCAAGAAATATACATTCTTTGACTGTCCAAGGAATGAAGAAGATACATGTATGTAGTTGGCAGTTAATTACATGTACGATGTAGCAGTTGGTTTTCTAATATGGAATTCCATAAGAAGAGGCTGCATTTCTTTTTCTCTTGTGTGAATATAAAACTGCATGCAGACAAAATGTACTGTTTTATAGTGTTTTTGACCTTGAGCCTGGACTAGCTGGTACGGACACGGTTCACAAAGAGGATTGACGTCAGATTTAACTACAAGTTGAACATTTAAATGACCTGATTAGTACAGCAGTCCTGGATTTATAAAATCAATGAAATCACCATTTCGAAATATACTTTCCCTGTACACCTGAACAAAAAGGACCACTTTCAAGTTGAAACATATGTATGTGCATGTTAACTTAGGTATATTAATAATTATTGTTATTAAAGTTTCTTTAATTTGAGACAGTAACATTATTATTTCGAGTTGCTCTCCTTTGCCTTGTAGGGATAAAAAAAAAATCAAAGATCAATCATTATCATTTTATTTTTAAAATGTTTTTGATGACCAGTTAACTGGAAACTCGGTAACTAATACGTATAAATAGATCCCCTGTATACACACCTCTCCACGTGTACACGAGAGTGGAATTTTCACGGTAGCCATGATTAAATGATAAACACTATCGCAGTGTTTTGAATTAAACGTCAATAGTGGGTTAATATGACTTACTTACTATCTTGTAAAATCCAGAAAGTAAACAAGAGGATAAAGAGTAGACGTACAAAATTATTATTTTTAGATATAGTCAACAAAAAAGATTTTTCCCTTTGCAAAATGCGTAAATAAACGATATTTATAGAGTCGAAACTTCTTAATAGAAACAACTTGTAACCATGAGTAGACCAACAGAATAAAGACTCAAAGAAACACAAAAACTTAAAGTTATAAATACAAAATAAATAAATAAATAAATATATAAAATAAATGTAGATGCTCGAGAAAAAAATTTTCAGGTGAAAATCATGCAATTGTAACCAATCAATAGATATTTACGACATCCCTATAAAGCAATTATGGTTTTAGCATTAAAAGACCGATATTGGCTCTCAATTATTCTATAATTTTCATTTTTAAATTTCAAAGAAAATGAAAAAAAGAGTTTTATTTGTAGATAAGGTGCTTTATTACGGTTTAACATTTGATGTTAATAATATAAATACATAATATGAATGATTGATAAAATGTGTAAGGAAAGGCTCGAGCTATTGACATTTCAATATTTTTAAGATAAAAAATATTTAGGGAAATAAAACACATATATAGTATGAAACACGAATATTTATCCATTTTAAATATTTGGACCAATCCCGATCAAAATTACAGAAAATGAATGAAATCGTGATTTATTGCCTTCTTTATGTATTTACCACTACGAACTACTTTTGATTGTCAAGTTAAGGACATACGCAACGTACCTTACCTACTGATAATTTTCCAAGATATTCCAAATTTAAACTTATAATATCATTACATGTTCTTAGACAAAAAATCAGGATGCGTTACCAGGGGTTTTGAAAAGATATCGAATTTTGAAAATTTTGCATTATTCAAATAAAAATGTACAAAAATTATAAAACATGAATTCCAGATTTTTTTTCATTGAAAATTGTTTTAGAAGAAGTGTACAAATCCATATATAGAGATTAAAAATGTTGCACACAGGTCCTTCATTTAGTGGAACTCTTCAAGTCCAGGGAAGAATCCAAAAAAGTTCAAACTACGTTGCGTATGACCTTAAGTTCATTTTTTCCGTTTAATTAAACATAATCAAACTACATGTAGTATTCTTGTGAAAATGTTATATATTCCTAATTATTTTATAAAATTCAGAAAAATTAAATAGGTAAAAATTAATTTGAATGGATTTATGCAAACTTACACAAAAATATATAAATAGTTGGAAAAAATTAAGGTGTGATATAAATAATACATATTGTAATTTTATCATATAAACAATATCAAGTGACAAATCGCTCTATTAAAAAAAAAACAAAAAAAACCCCTGGCATTCAATCCTTGAATTAATAGTACTAGTACATGCGCATTTATTAGAAAAAGGCTGAATTTATCAGATCTGTAAAAGTTGTCACAATTGTAAACATTTACAATAGATAGATCTAGATTTTTTCAACGCTATCTTTTTATCTTGAATCTAAGCCTAGGATAAAAATGTTTAATCTTATCAGCGAAAAATGTCGTGTTTCTATATTGAGAACGAAATAATTGGAAAGCCCCCTCTAAATTGATTTTTACTTGTTAGACCAAATAAAATGTTGTTTTTTAAAAGAGGGCAATCTTTTTTAACAATAATAGTAAAAGACCTAGAACAAGAATCAATAAAAAGCGATAAGTTGTGACACAGTAGGCGAAATAATACCCCCCCCCCCCCCCCCCCCCCACACACACACAAGGTTACTAGCCTCCATCTAAAAGCATACGACGTACATGTATACATATACGGAAATATTACAAAACTGAAGAAAACGTGCGAATTTTAACTCGTTTTTGTGGACGACTTAAAATACATCGATTCGCACTGGTTATTGATTTAGTATAACCCATCTTAAAGAGGCTGGGGGGTGGCAGCCATTTTTATACTATTTCAATCTCCTTTAAAAGGAGAGCTCCATATAGAGATATACAAAAATGATCAAATTTTATAACTAAAATGTATGAATTTTTTCTTTGCCAAATGATAGTTGACAGCTAAAGATACCATATCTAAAAAAAATAAGTTAAATCTGGTGGTTAATTTGGGATTAATTTGTTGACCCACCAGCCTCCTTAAGAACAGATGATAAAAACTTTTGTCAAAAATTTTGATACATGTAATAACAACTTGGGTCATGTTTCTAATGAATAAAATGAATATGTTTCACCGTGTAGTTTTTTTTAACTTTTTATTCAAAGTTGTACAAAAATGGAATTTGTAGTGAAGCATATACCGGTATTTACAAATATAGATTAATAATTAATGATGGTTTCAGAGGATAGAATTTTGAACGTCATAGAAGGTTTACAATTACTTAATATTCTAGAATTTTATTACTTGCATCATTTGCAATGAAATGAGGTCAAAAAATATATATACAAATCCAGGCATCCAATTTTTATGCCCCCGTAAACGAAGTTTCGGGGGTATATAGTTTTTGTCGTGTCCGTCCGTCTGTCTAGTGTCTGTCTGTCTCTCTGTCTGTCTGTTTGTCCGCAAACACTTTAACCTTGCCTTTAACTTTTGATTTAGTAGAGCTGTGACCTTCATATTTCACATGTGTATTCCTTGTGACAAGACCTTTCTTTGGGAACCACCAAAATTGACCTTTTGACCTTGACCTTGGAATTTGACCCAGTTTAACACAAACATTTTGAACTTTTACTTTGGCCATATCTTTTGAACAATAGATACAAGGACATTCATACTTGACATATGTATTCTTTGTGGAAAGCCCTTTCATTGGATACCGACAACCTTGACCTTCTGACTTTGAGATTTCCGTACCCATGAAAAAACTTTAACCTTGGTTATAGCTATAACAATGAGTATTAGGGCTTTCATACTTCACACATATAATCCTTGTTAAAAGACCTTTCATTGGATACCAAGAATCTTGACCCTTTGACCTTGACCTTGGAGTTTGACCTACTTTAAAAATGCAACACTGACCACAATTTTTGAAGGGTTAAGACTAGAGCATTCATACTTCACAAATTTAATTCTTGTGACAAGACCTTTCATTTGATATCAAGAACATTGACACTTTGACCTTTACCTTAGAGTTTGACCTACTTTTTACAAATTTTAATCTTGCCCATAACTTTTGAACAGTAGGGGCTAGAACTTTCATATTTCACAGGTGTAATCCTTGTGACAAGACCTTTCATTGGATGCCAAGAATCTTGACCCTGTAACCTTGACCTTAGAGTTTGACCTACTTTTTACAAACTTTAACCTTGTCCATAGCTTTTGAATGGTAAGGGCCAGCGCTTTCATACTTCTCATACGTAATCTTTGAGACAAGGCCCTTCTTTAGAAACCAACAACCTTAACCTTTTTGTCCTATCTTATAAAATGTTAACCTTGGTCATAACCCTGGAACAAGTGTAGCTAGCGTTTTATATTTCGCATTTCTTGTGAAAAGGCCTTACTTTTGGTACCAACATATTTGATTCGCAATTGAGAAAGTTTAACCTTCGCTTAGTTGCCATTCGGGGGCATCAGTGTTTCACAAACACATCTTGTTTTTGTTTACAAGTATCATCTGTCCTTAAACAGTCGATCGTGTATGTTATATTTTAATATCTGAGCTGTTGGTCTCAGATATTAAAATATAACATACACGATCGACTTGACATTTTTCGCTGAAAAAGCGTGTATTTTCTTTCTAAGACTGTTTGGGAAGAAATATATTGTGTGTATAGTGTGTATAAAGTGTGATTCTTTGTGCATTTTACGCACGTTTGGGATTTAAAATACTCTGAGAGAAGTGAATATACACGGTGTTTACCTGGTGAGTACCTACTTAGGTGTGTTATTGACTCACGAGCAGAATTCTATTTATACGTTGTATGGATGTGCTATAGCTCAATACATTCTATATCGAAAAATATTTGAGAAATGGATCAAATGCTGAAACCAGTATACTTGAAGAACAACGAGCTTCTATCTGAAAGCGATGATGAACGAATCACGAATTTTGAGATGCTTCAAGCTGTTACTCCGTGCGTTGGTGATGCGGTGAAATGCATCCAATTAGACCGTGGCGAATATATCTGACCAATGCCCACAGCAGAGCTGCAGAAGTAAAATTCTACTGGAAGGTTTCGATTTAAAAAATCAGCACATTTCTCTGTACGACACAAATCCGTACTCCGCCGGCCTGGAAGGTCCAAGAGATCAAGCTTTAAAAGTAACTAGTTCTAATTGTAACGGGGACCGTTACAGATGTTCCCCAAACGCTCCCCAACTGCCTATTTGTGCAAATTTCCTTTAAAACTTTTTTTCAATATGCTTAGTATCGCAGGATTTCATAAAAGAATTTTAAAAGCTACAATGATATCAATTTTTTGTCATTTAACGCATTGTTCGCAAACGCACGTGCATGCACATGCAAGGTGATCATGACATGTTGTCTAAACCATTAACATATCTATATTCCAGAAATCAATAAAAAGTCATAAAAATATAAATTTTACCGTTTTTCAAACA